TACATATTTGACTAAGTGTAACCACATCTCCGAGCATCCTATGTTTATAAATAATCATGTGCTTGAATATAATTATTACACCACTGCAGTATTTTCCTTTTTGTGCCACCTTTATCTCCCTGATGTATCCTTACAGTCTGAACTTCATTTTAACACAGAGCTTTCTTCACTTTAGGATTTGATTAATTTTGGTACAGCTTACCAAAAATTTCAGGCTGTGAGCACCAACTGAGAAGTGCTTGTACAGGATGTTACTGTAAGGTCTTCACAATGATTTGGAAAAAATACTATCAAAAATGCATCACTTCCATTTTAGCTTGTTGAGGCAGATTCACACATACTCAAATGTAACACAAAGGCAAAAATGGATGCTGACTGGATATACGGGAGCGACAGCCAGACTGCAGTGCCAGGTGCTGCACAAAGCAGCAGACCATGCTAGCAAGTCTCACCCATAATTAGATATTGACTTATTGACTTGGAAGGAAGGTTGTGCTGACCAGGACATAACAGGAAAGCCTGAACCCCACCTCCAACTCTCTGTAATTCACAAGAGCTTTGGGGCTCTTCCCGCAGGTCTCCCAAAGGGGAAGGTCAGCCTCAGTGCAGAAGGCAGGGGTGATGGAGCCCTTCCCCAGACCCAGCACTGTGCTCCAGATTTCCCTGGGAAGGGGGTATCACTGAGGCTAGGTACCCCAACAAGGTATTGATGCATAAGGTGCATCAGGACCCCATGCCCAGGCACTGGCAGAGTTAGTGCCTAGGTCTCAGGGGCCCCATTTCAGAGCTGCTGTGCTGCTGCAGCTGTGACTCCACTTGCTCCTTACCCAGCCCTAAGAATTACATTTGGCTATCATTAACTTAGCTAAATAAGAACATTAGCTTTCAAATATAGCTTGTCCACATCTTGTAGCAGGATGATTTTTCCAGTTTAGCTGAACGTTTTCAATTTGTATGCAACTTACATACAATTTCAGTTGCAGCATCTTCCCCCCTTCCTTCCTTCCTAATCCCAACCGCAAACATAAACTCAGCTGCTGAGCAACTTAAAGACCCGGTGCTCTATTCAGATTATTCTCTCAAGGTGAGATCAACCTGACCAAAAATAAAAGGGTACAGTATAGGTGTGTCCATCTGCAACATCATCTAGACTCCTTTTACAGTGAATCCTATAGGATGTATCTAAAGCAGGTCAGATGAATGGCACCCAGGAAAAACCTGTTTCCCTCCTCTACCTCACCAGGCTCTGATGCTGGTGACTGCACTGCAGACACTTAAAACTGGGTAAGATGAATAGCAGACCTTCTTTCCAAACACAGGCTTGCCCACCTCTCTGAGGCCTGCTCAGATAAGCCTTGCTGTCAATTCAAGCTCAAGTTCGCCTAAACCAGACCACTTCATCATGCAGCTCTTCAGTTGCTGTTTAGGCCAGTGTTCACTTATGCCTACAACTGGGGGCACATCTTTGGTCCAGACCTCTCTCTGTATCCTTATTCAGGTTATGTCTGAGCCTTGCAAGGTTTGCCCTATAAATAATTCCTGACACAAAGCCTTTCTGTCTCTATCCACACAGCTAAGGCTCTCTTCCAAGCTGTTGCTACTCTGAATCATGCTTATTGCTTGTCCTGCCCTTAATAAACACAGTCCTGTCCTGCAGATAAACACTCCAAATGCCACAGCAAAGGATATGACTCTAGCTGGTCCTCTGGTGCTGTCATGCCTGTCTTTGCATTTCTTCCCTAGCTTGCTACTCTGTCACATCAGGTGAGACACTTGTCCTCAGTTTCAAGTCCTTCCATAGCCTATGCCAGCTCTGCCTGTCTTGGACACAGCCTCTCACACATGACAGAGCCAACCCTGCCATCACCCATCAGTGGGTGGTATCACCCACTTGGTATGTTCTCATACACAGTCCTGCTGGTGGCGTGCTGCCCAGCTTGTCTGGAAGGAGCTGCTGCACACAGCTGCAAAAGTAATGCACCTTAAAAATTCCCCTTTTCCTTGCTAGAAGCTCTTCAGAAGTCAGGCTTCCTTTTGCGAAGCCAAATAGTGTCTCACTGATGCCTTGTGACTGACTGTGTGCACAACCTCCCCCATTAGGTCAGGAACTGTCCCATGCAACTTCATTGCCTTGCATGTTGGGCTTCTTGTCCACAACCGGTGCCCTCATATGCTACAAATTAATAGATCTAAAGTGGCAACAGCAGCCACCAAGTCACAATCAACATTTGCATAATAATTTAAATTTAAATTTAAATTAATTTAAATTTAAACTTAGTAAGTTGACTTACTAAGAGGCACAGATGTAGTTTAGAGGTAATGCATGCTGTTAGGAGTGCTGGGAGAAACTGAATGTGTTTGTCACTCCTTTGATGATCCTCCCACTTAGAAGCATTGCAGGTTTGTTTATTAATATCTGAAAATGTCTACTATAAAGACAGAGACTTTTAAAATGGAGAGGGACTGGTGGGTGGGGAAGCAAGCAGGAGGTGAAGAAAGAGGTAGGTGCCTGCTGGTCATCTTTGAATCATGTGCCTTAGATGATTTGTGTAGACTATATTCTAGAATGTTCAGTGGACATGTTTTATATTGAGGGTATTTTCTTCTGAACTTTGTGTTAAATAAATTCGTGTCCTTGAAGAAACTCTGAGTCTTACATGGGAGTCCTTGCTGTAATGGGAAACAAATTAGTCCTTGCTTACAAGAAGCCATGGTTCTGACAGAGTATATAGAAATCTCAAGTAGGACCATTTAGTGTTATTACCCAGGTTGGTTTTTTGTTTTGGTTTGGTTTTGGGTTTTTTCTTTCCAGTAAAGCTTTTTGAGCATGTTATTGCTGTGCTGCAGGTTTAAACATGCATCTCAAAGTTTAGCTGCTTTGCTCAAAAATCAATTAAATTCATTATGAATGTGCTGGACAGGTCTAGAATGCAAGAACTGGCTTGTTCTCTGATTTTCACGGTTATCATTTGTGGGGTATTTTAGGACATACATGTGGGAGTGTGGAGAGAGAAGCCATGTATTAAACTTCTGGAGTGACAATAGCTCTGGTATTTTCTGGACAATTTGTAAATTGTAATGAAAACTATCTTGGATCTGATGTGCAGCGAACCTCTTTGTGAAGGATACTATGTGGGTTGGAGAAAAAAACAGCATGAAAGTGTAAATTCTGTTAAAATGTCAAAGACCAAATTTTATCCTTTTGCTTTTAAAGATAAAAACAGAAGACAGTTCCTTAATTTAAACTGAAGGATGAGAAGAAATTATGCTGCAGGCATACTGTAAATTCAGTGAGCTTTACTTAACTTGTAATAACAGCTCTTTTTCTTTTATTCACATAAAAGAAAGTACGTGGCTGCCATTTAAGTATGTTAGTGACTGTGTTATGCTCTGTTGAAGCTGGGATGATTAATGGATTTCTTTTATTGAAGGTAAGTATAAAAGAAATTAAGCTCTTTTGGCATCTGAAATAAAAGGGATACCATACCAGCCAGATGGATTAAAAACTGTCTTCTGCAATGTTGATGGAGATTTGAACACACATGATAAAAAAGAACAAATTGGCTAGTACTTGGGTAACTGGAGAAAAAGATGGGCTCCTAGTGGCAACTGTTAGTTAGAAAGGGGGTTGAAAATATCTTTTGTCATCTAATTCTTGCTTGCTAAAAGAAAGTATGATTTTGCTCATTCTTTGCACATAAACAATGTTGCACATGAGATATATCAGCCTGTTATCACCATCACATCCTAACTGAAACAACATCCAGAACATCAAAAGTCACAAACTAGGATTCAGCGAAGAGTAATTCAGAAGTACGGTGATACTTCTCTTTCCTAACTTTGCTGATGTTCAAGAGGCAAAACCTGAAAGGATGTGTGTCTTGCCAAGGTGATGGTGACGCACCTTATGTTGTAAAGTAAACGGGAAGAAGATAACAAATCAGTTTGGCAAATCAATAAAAAAACCTATCATCATGCTGGTTGTAAAATAATCATTTTGTATAGGTAAGTACCTCCAGCTGCCCAGTGGTGAATGCATAAAATAATCATGGTTTCTATTTGTAAAGAAATGCTTATTTATTCTGTCATATGGGTATTTTTTAGGCTATAATTTTTAGGTATTTTTAATTGCCAGTATAATTTTATTAAAGTCTAGCTACATTTCTGCTTCCTTGCTATTTAGACCTTTGCAGTCAAGTAGGAAAAACTGCAATAAACTAGGCACTGGGAACCAAGCATACCTGGAAACCTGTATATTTACAAAATGTACAAAGTCTTCTTCTCATTGGCACTTATTTCATGAGCAAATACTCCTGGCATATACCTGATATGGACTGCTGAAGGATGTTGCCACAGAGCCACTGCCTTTTCAGACACTTCACATGCTGGTACCAGGCTCAAGCTTCACCGAAATACGGTTGCATCTCTTCATGAGATTTCACTGGCACTGCCAATATTGCAGTTGTTGCTGGAACAGCTGTGCTGGCAAGAATCTGTACTGAGGTGTAAGAAAAGACAAACAAAGCCTGCAAGCTACTACTGAGGAGTTCCATTTCCAGGCTGAGCTTGCTGAGAGGAGACAGCAGCTGCGAGGGACACTTCCCCTGCCAGCGGGACCTGACACCTAGGGAGGGCTGAGCTCTTTTGAAACACATTTTCAGCATCCACCGAGAGCCCGAAGCAGGACAGGCAGCCCCTGCGCCCAGAGGGGCACGCAGGATGAGCGAAGACACCGTCCACCTGCCATAGTGTGCTCCCCCTTGACAGGAGAGGGGTGCAGGCCCGGCCCCTCAGTATGAGGTGCTGTGGGCCAAGAGTGGGCTCTGCAGAGCGCGTGGTTTTGTCGTGGATACGATGTGCTTCCTGAGAGCTCTAAGATCGCCTCCTTCTAGAACCCCGGCGGTAGGAGCACGCCTGATGGGGTAGCCCAGGAACTACAGTTCCCGGCATGCCCCGCGCGAAGCCGGCCCGCACCGGAACAGGAAGCTGCGGGCTGCGCGGCACGCTGGGACACGCAGTCCGACGCTAGCCGCCGCCCAAGGGCCCGTACCCCGCGACTTTGAAAACTCCCGCGGCTGCCTTCGCAGCTCTCGCGAGAGCTCCGTCCCCAGCCCCGCCCCCCGCGCGGCGGGTGAGCGACCGAGGTGGGTTCCGCGCGCGGGGGGAGGGGCGCTTTGCGGCCCGGCATCGAACAGGGCGCGCGGCCCACCGGGTGCTTTCGGTGACGTAGGAGGCGATTGTGGTGTGGCCGGGCAGGCGTTCGGCTGGCCGAGGCCTTTGTACCCGCCGCAGCCGCTGCGGGAGATGCCGCCGCCCTCATCTGCACGTACGGGGGACAAGCGGGCTGGGGTGGGCGGCCAGGGGGGAGCGGCGCGGGGAGAATAAGGCGGAGGAGACCGAGGGGGCGGAGGCGACCCCCGGCTGCCCGCCTTGCTTCCTTCCCCCGTGCCGGTAGGTACCGGGCGCCCCTGAGGCGGCTAGGCCGCTGGCGCAGCGCGGGCCGGCGGAGCCCCTGGGCGGGCCCGGCTGTCGTCGCGTTTCCCCTTATGTAAGTGACCCCAGGGGCCGCGGCGCTGTGCCCCGCCAAACGTGGCCCCCCTGCGGAGGGAGAGGCAGGGGGAGGCCAGCGGCACGGCCTGGGCAACGCACATGGGAGGCGGCGGCGTGCGAGCCTCCGAAGGCGGGAGGCGGCCGGCATAGGCTGGGGGCGTGCGAGATGCGATTGCCGGCGGGAGTGTTCTCTCCGCCCGTTCACCTCCCGCAGGGCCTTCGGTCACTTTTTGGAGGGTTTTCCTTTCTAATAATATTCTCGTTTTAGTCCCTCCTGTCGGTGTTCTTTGGAGGAGGAGGCGGGAAATTCACTGTCTGCGGCTGTCGCGGGAAAAGGGCTGGGTTTAATCGGGAGAGCACAGCTTTACAGGAATGCAGCGCAATTTGCGGGGGTCTCTTGGTCTTTGCTTGCATTGCGCAGCAAAGTTGCCGACTGAAGCAAAAGCTATTTTTTCCTTAATAGCCCATGACTTAAGGTCTGGAACTTCTGCCATGAGAAAGCAGCGTGGTGTGAGTCTTCCAGGTCTAATAATTGCTTCCTGATTGTGTTTGATAAAATGATGAGCAGTGTAGGGAGTTAATTCTGTTCGGGATGCTGAACCCTGCTTGGGGTGCGTGTTCAGGTGTGGTAGTTCAGGTGCCTTGTTCAACTTGGATCAGTCTTGGCTGGCAGCTGTCACATGTGTTTGGGCACACAGTACTGTCTCCGTTCTGCTGAGGACAGCTCCTGCTTCACTTAGTGCATTGTCTTCCTGCATTGACTTGCTTGAAGTTTGCATTTTTAAGACATTGTAATGAACTTACTCAGACTTTTCTTAGTTTTATGTGTTCTCCCTAGTAAGCTGACGGATACAGTTTTAGAGAAATAATGGTGATTAGTCTTTTCTGGTGTGGAGCTGTTTTACTTATGTGGTGGAGACAACTCCTGAATGCAAGTATAGTAATGTTAGAGAATAACCACTGCAGGTAGCTGGGTGAACTGGCTCTTGTGTCAAATTCTAGTCTGTGTGGGGTTTGACTGATTTTTCAGTTAAAGGAAAATCAAACCTACGATCTGCCTCTTATATGGGATCTTAGCTGTTGGGTAGAGAACTGAAATTCTTATCCGCTGCTGTAGATTAATGCTTCTTGGAGAGCTTGTGGAACATGTGCACACACTCTGCAGGAGCTGCACTTGAGTGAAATAAGCCTGTTTTTAGAATTCCAATATGTCTATGCTCTGCAAGTGGCTTTTTAGACTAAAATTTAGCTTTTGGACTTAAGGTTTTGCTTAACACACTGGGGGGAGGTCTTCTGCCTAAGGTGGAACAGTGATACTTACTAAATCACCTGCTGACTTACTCACTAAATCCTCTTTCTGCAGGAGTGAAATACGGCAGAACACAAATTCACTGGCCCTGACTACTGATGTGCAGGAAGTGTCTTTTCCACCTACTGCTCCTCCAATGCTTGTGAGTTGTTTCCTGCTTTCCTGGTGAAAATGTCATTGAACTGGTAATGAATGGGAATTCAGAAAATTCTGTGATGCTTTTACCATCCCTTGGCTGTTTATTCAACAAAGAGGATGCTGTTTTCCTTGGAACTTTGTTTTTCTTCCTCTTGTGCAAGAAGGAGTTAGAAATTGACTGTGTTTTGGGTGGTGTCTTTCCTTAAAAGTGAAGGGGTCCTTAGCTCTCCTTGCAAACTAAATGTATAGTTTCAGATGTGTATCAGCTAGCATAGCAGCTTCACTGCCACAAAATGGAGATAGACATTCCTTCTTCTTCACAATGCATTGTTCTGCCTCCTTCTGTTATGCTTGCTAGTTCTCTCTGCAAGCCAGTTTGACTCTTTAACCTGGTGGAAAACTCTCTGCTGCTCTGGATTAGTTTCTTCTCTGCTTTGTGGGCTACCTTTGCTTATGAAGTGCTCTAAAAAGTATTCAAGTCAGTGCAAGGTTAGGCACAAGAGTACAGTAGTAGAACAAAGGAGCAGATGGAGAAGGGAGGTAGCAGCAAGGTCTTTCTTTTAGTGACAGTGAAGTCAGTACGTTTTGTGAAGTATTATCTTCAGCTGTGATAGACAGTGTTTTTAGCTTTTCCTTCAGTAAGCCCATAAAGTTGTTGGCCTTTGAAACTAGTTTTCATGCACTACTTTCAGTCAGAACTGACATCCCAGAACTCTTGGCTGTGTGTGGTTCTGCTTGAACATGTGGCTTCACCCTTTAAATTTTTTTTTTTTTTTTTTACCCTAGAGCTGTTTCACACAAAAATCTATCACCACTGTCATCAGTCTGTGACTTGTGGCATGTTCCTTTCTTTGGAAATAGTTCATGATGTTTGGAAGTCATATGTATCAAGGCTGAAGAATGGTGGTTTTGGCAACTTTTGCACAGAGCAGTTTGGTTTAGGACGCAGGTGAGAGGTTTAAAATGGGATTCTCGTTTACTCCTGGACGTGGAGTAAGCCTGTGGTGTATTTGCATTAATTCGTTTCTAACAGATAGAATTAGGGATGTGAATGTTGTCACTGTCACTGTTTTCAAAGAGGACAATAATGCAGTTAGTGTTGGATATATCTCTTAGAACAGAAACTTCATGCCTTTATAATCTAGCTCTTTTTTCCTGCTGTCTGATTTCTCAGTAGTCCTTGGTTTAACTTAGAGTGTTGTGGTTTAAATTCTGAACTGAAACTCTGAAACTTTATAAACTGCTGAACCCAGGATGTAGAGTGATGCAAGTAAGACATCCTAATAACCAAATCACTGTATGTTGTTCATAATTTATTATGAAGTTTATTGCCCTTGTTCCGTACAGTCAAGCCAGGTGCCTAGAAAAAAATGACATTGGCTTACTAGAAGAAACCTCAGTATGCCTGATGATCTGTAGCATTTTCATATGCAGTTAACAACTGTTGCATGATTAAATTTAAAGTGAGTGCTCCAGGTGTTGGAGTGTTACTTGCTTGATGGTACTTACTGTGGTACTGGATTGATAAGCACACTTGATGCATGCTGTAGACAGGACTACACAGTGTCAAGTTGTGAGCTTTCCACCAGAGAAGAAGAATCTGATTTGATGGGGAGTTTGTGCTGGTGACTGATTTGTTTTCAAATTCAGATCTCCCCAGTAGTGTAGCTTAAAATTTTATTTCCAGTTTGGCCACATAAAGTTGTGTGTTCTTGGCTTGTGCAGGTATTTAGTGGCGAAGGCAGGGTGACTCAGGGTGAGTCATGGAGAACATGCAGTTGAGAAGCTTTCTTGAATGCTATTTCCTGCTGTACTGGAAGATACTTGTTCCCTCTTTGGTATGCTCTGGGGGCTGCCCAGCTGGAAAGCACCTTGACAAAAAAGATGCTGGGTGTTCTGGTGGACCCTGAATTAACCGTGAGCCAGCAACGTGCCCCTGTAGCCAAAGGGCTTTCTGGTATCCTGGGCTGCATGAGGAGGAGTGTTGTCTGTTCGACATTTTAGTTAGAGATCTGGGTGATCGGGCAGTGCACCCTCAGTAAGAAGTGTGACCCTGAAGCAAACAAGGCTTACAATACCCTGGGCCACAAGAGGAGGCACAGCTGGTGAGGCCGTGCCTTGAGTGCTGTGTCCAGGTATGAGCTCCCCAGAGATAGGGGGGAGATAGAGAAGAGATAGGGAGGCACTGGAGAGAATGCAGCAAAGGGCTACAGTGGTGGTTGGAGGGATTGGAGCACCTCTTTTGTGAGGGGAGGTTGGAACAGCTGGCAGTGTTCAGCCTGCAGAAGAGAAGGCTCAAGGTGGATCTCACCAATGCATATCAATACCTGAAAGGAGAGGGTTGAGAAGATGGTGCCAGGCACTTTGCAGTGGTGCTGAGTGGCAGGACCAGAGGCACTGGGCACAAACTCGTTAACCAGCTCAGTGTATCAGTATACGTTCATATTTGGTCTTACAGGTTACTCATAAAAAGCGTTCATTAAATCATTACAATTAAATTAAGGTGGAATGCTGGTCAAATTGTGGTTCTTTTTACTCACTGGAGCCCCTGGATGCCATGCAAATATTCACCCTGCTGCCACTTTGAAATGATGACAGGTATCAAAAAGCCAACCCAACAAAGCTACTGTTGGCTAAGCTGTCTCACTTGGAACTTGATCTGTGCTAGTTGTGAAAGCTGGCAGAGTGGTCAGGTGGGCTGGCCTCAGCAGCATCCTGCAGTGCTGGCATAGCCATTGGCAACATTCTTTTTCCAAATGTTGACTTGTGCTTAGTACAGGACCCTGACTTATGCTTCCCAAGCTTTACATGCTTCTTGTTTTCATGCTTGAAGAAGATGCTGGAATGTACTTTATATAAATAGAGTGCTTGTGACTTGAAACGTATAGTAGATTCCAGTAACCAGACTTTAGAGCATAATCATAAAATGGTTTGGGTTGGAAAGGACATTAAAATCATCTAGTTCAAATCCCCTTGCTGTGGGCAGGGATGCCTCACACTGGAGCATGTCACCCAAGGCTCTGTCCAGCTTGGCCTTGAACACTGCCAGAGATGGGCATTCAAAACTTCTTTGGGCAGCCTGTTCCAGTGCCTCTCCACCCTCACAGTAAAGAACTGCTTCCTAATATCTAAGCTGAACTTCACCTGTTTAAGTTTAAACTCATTACCCCTTGTCCTGTTGCTCCAGTCCCCGATGAAAAGTCCCTCTCCAACACCCTTTTAGGCCCCCCCTTCAGGTACTAGAAGGCTCTTACAAGGTCTTCACGCAGCCTTCTCTTCTCCAGGGTGAACAGCCCCAGCTTCTTCAGGCTGTCTTCATATGGGAGGTATAAGGCCCCTTTATCATCCTCATGGCCCTCCTTTGGACTTGCTCCAATAGTTCCATGTCCTTCTGATGTTGAGGACATAATCTTCCTCCAAAGAAGTAACAACTAATATAAACAGTGTTTCTTTATAAACATTTTCCTTAAGTAATTTTGTGTTGCTCTCAGAGTCTAGTCTTCACAACTAGCTATAAGGGAAAAGGGTTATTAGTGCATGCTGCAAGAAACAGTCATAAAACTTCATTTGCAGGAGAACAGGTACGGTACAGTTGATGCAGCAGGCTTTGTGTGTACGTTTAAGTGGTTGGTTGTACTGGCTAGTAGTGTAGGGTAAGGGCTCTGTTTGATGCTAGAGTTGGTCAGCATGTGTGTAATGGATTTAATTCTAGAAAAATATCAGTATTTTGAAGTGCTTTACTACATTCCCATTGTAAGTAATGATTGATGAGCTATGAATCCTTATGTGTTGCTTGTAATGTGAAAATACCAATGGGATGTTTTTGAATGTGAATACCAGAGAGACTTGAAATTATCTCTGGTACCTTCCACTGCTTACCTCTGCACAGCCTCATTGTTCTGAAGTCTGTATTGCTTATGATGTGGAAATATCAACAGCACATTTTCTAGAGGAGTTTTGGGGAATGGAGGTGGTGAAGAACTTAGTGTTCCTTAATGGTCAAACTGAACATGCAAAAGTCATTAAGACATAAATGATAACATGAAATCTACTAGAAGACAAATGACAAGAAACAACAAAGCATAAAATCAAGGAAAAGGACAAATGGAAACTTGCACCTCTTCCTAAGAAGCTTTTTAAAAGATATTTTTTCTCAGGTTGCCCCTCACAAACCCATGTGAGCAGATTTGAACTTGAACTCAGTGTATTGTATTTTTTCTGTTACTTCTTTTGTCAAGACTTGCGCATCACTATTTGTTGGTGATCTCACAGGTGTCAGAAAAGCAAAAGATTCTGCTTGTGCTCTGCTGAGAGATCAAAGGCTGTCCTGATTGCCATTTTTGTAAGAAGAGCTTCAGGCAACTCATAGGAGATTTTTCCCTGCATGCTGATGAAACTTTTGTTAATCTCAAAAATATTGATTGCTGACATGAGTGTGGTTTTGCATGTTTTTCTTTATTTACAGTGAAGAATGCGAGACCTAAGGGCTCGGGCAACGAGCAGTCTGCTGCGGTTTCCAGAGGTGACTATTCAGGCACTTGGGGAAGATGAGATAAGCCTGGACTCTGTGCTGTGCGGGAAGTTTTCTGGAGGTGAGCATTTTCCTTTAGATTTGATCTTGTAGAAAGTGATTCTTGCCTGGAGGTTGCCTGAAAGCATAGAGTTGTAGCATCAACTGTGTCTGGTTGGTGCCGTTATGATGCATCAGGTTCCAGAAGGACAAAAAGCATGTTTCAGGTGTTAGAAATGCTAATGTTAAATCATTAATACGGTTAAACTTTAAAATGGCAACAGCCTGCAGTGCCTGTTTTAAGCTCCAAATCCCTGGCCAGAGCACCATGTATCAATGAAATTAATAAAGTAGAAATGAATTGATTTAGATTTGTTATATTTGAAATGGGCATTAAGACTTGTATTCGTGTGTGTATTTTGATGATTTCTAGCAAGGCCAAGCTGAATGTGGTACAAAGGCTATAGATCAATATGTCACTATATCCCAATCAGAATTCTTCATTGCAGGAATGACAAATGCAAATAATAAGGTTGTTAATTCTAAGATGTATTGCTTGAGGAGTTCAGTGGGTGATTTTAAATACTTGACCAGCATTGGGTAAGTTACTTTTCCTTTGTTAGGTCCATATCTTGAAGGACAGGGGCAGTGACAGTGACTTTTCAGTTGTTCTTCCAGTCTTCTGTTGGAGATTTGATTTTATCAGCTTTCTTTCCTCTTCCAGGGAGAAATGTCCAGGCCTGGTTGGCGTGTGGTCCTCAGCTTGAGGTGGTGAACTCTGTGACAGGAGAGCGGCTCTCTGCTTATCGTTTTGGTGGAGTAAATGAACAGTCCCCCACTGTCCGTGTGGTAAAGGAGTTTTCCTGGCAGAAGAGAACTGGACTGCTGGTTGGGTTGGAAGAAGCAGAGGGAAGTGTGCTCTGTCTGTACGACCTTGCAATATCAAGAGTGGTTAAAGCAGTTGTTCTTCCAGGAAGGGTACGTACTTTTTAATCAGGAAAAACAAAGCTTTTAAGTTGCTAGGTGCTGCATAACCATGTCTTAAGAAAAGACTTGGAGTGTCTCTTTGTAGGAGGTGTTTTTACTGTATTATGTTAACATATTGTCACTTTAGAGTATCCAGTCAAACAGAGCCTTAATGTAAGATCTTAGCAGTAGCATTATCTTTTGAGTTTAGTGTTACTAAAAAAGTTTTCTTGGATTATTGTAGACCGTACAGTTACCTAATTCTCTACTTCCACATGCGAGCATTTTCTTAAAGTAAACAAGAATCAGCATAAGAGAAAATTAAGGTTCACCATAGTTTTTGATCTTAGAATCTCAACAAAGAAATGCTCTTGCTCAGCTTTCTGTAACGTGGTTTAGGTTAACTTGCTAGAATCCATTTGGAGTTTTATTTGTAATGCTGCAGAGCGATTACTAGTAGGAAGCATGGTGTCCCTCAGGGATTGGTGTTGGGACTGGTCTTGTTCACCATGTTTGTTGGTGACATGGACAGTGGGATTGAGTGCGCCCTCAGCAAGTTTGCCAATGACACCAAGCTGTGTGGTTTGGTTGATACGCTGGAGGGAAGGAATGCCATCCAGAGGGACCTCAACACGCTTGTGAGGTGGGCTGATGCCAACCTCATGAAGTTTAACCATGCCAAGTGCAAGGTCCTATATTTGGGTCAGAGCAGTCCCAGGTGCAGCTACAGGTTGGGCAGAGAAGAGATTCAGAGCAGCCCTGAGGAGGAGGGCTTGGGGGTGTTGGTTGATGAGAAAATGAACATGAGCTGGCAGTGTGCGCTCGCAGCCCAGAAAGCCAACCGTATCCTGGGCTACATCAAGAGGAGCGTGACCAGCAGGTCAAAGGAGGTGATCCTGCCCCTCTACTCTGCTCTTGTGAGACCTCACTTGTGTACAGTTCTGGTGTCCTCAACATAAAAAGGACATGGAACTGTTGGAACAAGTCCAGAGGAGGGCCACAAGGATGATCAGGGGACTGGAGCACTTCCCATATGAAGAGAGGCTGAGAAAGTTGGGGCTGTTCAGCCTGGAGAAGATAAGGCTGTGTGGAGACCTCATAGCAGCTTTCCAGTATCTGAAGGGGGCCTATAGGGATGCTGGGGAGGGACTCTTCATTAGAGACTGTAGTGATAGGACAAGGGGTAACGGTTTAAAACTTAAACAGGGGAAGTTTAGATTGGATATAAGGAAGAAGTTGTTTCCTGTGAGGGTGGTGAGGCCCTGGAATGGGTTGCCCAGGGAAGTTGTGAATGCTCCATCCCTGGTGGTGTTCAAGGCCAGGTTGGACAGAGCCTTGGGTGAGATGGTTTAGTGTGAGGTGTCCCTGGCCTTGGCAGGGGGGTTGGAACTAGGTGATCTTAAGGTCCTTTCCAACCCTAACTATCCTGTGTTTCTAAGTTTTATTTCTGAAATCTAAGTAAGCTGAGAATCGGGAAATAAAAGGTTTAGAAGGATCATGTCACATACCGAATCTGTGTCTACGGAAGTGGTTCGAAATAGAATGTCATTCTATCTACTGGTTGTATTAGTGACTTCTATACCATAAGAAATGGGAATATATGAAGCAGCCATGGGGGGAAATGTTGGCTGATGTCTGATGGAGGTTATGAGTTTTGAAATAAAGCCAAAACTTACTTGAATTTTTGCTCTTGTGCCCTGGATGCTCTTGACTACATTTGGTCTGTTGCTTTCAATTTGATTCCTATCTTTTTGCTATTAGATTAGTTAGATCAGCTTTGCCAGGACACAGGTGTTGCTAGTTGGACTGTTAACTTCCAAGTTGTGGATGCGAATAAGGGTAAGGGAAACCAAGGAGATTAATCTTGTGCTTGGCCATTGTCCACATGGTTTTAATTTATTCTGTAATTCATACTTCCAAATTATACATTGCATAATATGTTTTTAATCTGCTTGTTTCTTTGATTTCCTGACATTTGTAAAGGTAAAATGCAGATCTGCTACTAACATTGCTTTCTGCAGTTTATATCATTGCTGGTTTAAGGCTTTAATGAGTACCTTAGTTTCTAGACTGTTTGCTGTGTTGGTTTATCTCTGCGGATATTAAGTTGTACAGGTTTATGCTAACTCTAGAGCAACTCTTGTCCAAGGTGTGAAGCCATTCGTGTGTTAATGCAGCATTTTTATAGTGTCTGTATGACTGCCGTTTAACATAATAGTATATGTGTAGTCATTCAGAGGGCAAGGGCATGGGTTAAGAAAACCAAACTCACAAACTTAGAATGAATTTTGACATAATTTTTCTTTTTTGGCGGGAGCACCTCTCATTGCCCCGTAGATATCCATGTGAAATACAGCAGAAAAGGGAAAGTATTAGTGGAGTATTCTTTGAATTGGATTCTAGTAAAGGCAAATATGGGTTAAAAACATGACTTATATTAAGTAGGTTTATAGTGGTTGTATGTTTCACAACTATTGAATAGTATTTTCATGAGTTATCCTGGTTTGTGTGAGGCAGAAGAGTAGCATTCAGATTCAGTGAGCTGAGAAAAGTTTTCTTTGTTAATTCCCAGAATGAGTTGGCAGTAGTCTAGGAGAATATGAAAAGGCAGTGCATAGCACAGTAGAAAAATATGCAGTTTCAGGAGCTTCTCTGGAAAATTGAAGTGTTAAAACCAGGAAACATTTTTGGAAGACTGTGCAAAGATGGAAGATTCGTTTGGAGCCAGTTGTACAATGAAAAAAATCGAAAAAGAAGGAACACTTGAACTTGGCTAATTCTGTAGCAAGATATTTATACAGTATTTCTGGTTTCCTCACAACTGTCATCAAGACTTCGAGCAGCAAGAATTTCAATAATCGGAACACTTTTGATTGTCCTTTTAGTAGCAGGGAAGATTGGAAACTGCGTTTGATTTATAGGGAATCTGAAACTGAAAGTTGTTTAAATTTCTATAGGTACTTCTAAGATAGAATTGTTGTAACCACAATGAAAGACAAATTCTGTAGTAGATTGCAGGGCAGTGTAGTCAAAACAAGTGCTTCATAAGGGAGAGGAGAAAACATTGGGGCTTAGGGGTTTGGTTATTTTTCCCCAGCTCTGCCGGTAAAAAAACCTTGGACTCCCTTGTGCTGTTCATTTCTTTGTTTTATTTTCATATGAAACTCTCTTGTTGTATAGCTTCCGGTTTTCATTATGCTGCATTTGTAAGCAGGCTAAACGGTAGTCTATGTTCTTTTGTTGTGTACCTTTAACCACAGGAATCTTTGTGTGCTTGTATCCCCGCTGTAGCAGTCAGTATTTTACCCGGGGTGGGTTGAAGGTGCTGAAAGGTCTGTCATCACCTTGAAATAAAGTTGCTCACAGGCTAGTTCGTATGTTCAAGAGAGGTGTGCTGTTCTTCCTCAGTTGGAGTTATGTCTTTATCTATCAAGCTGCTGTTCTTTTTGCCACTGTTCTCAAATTTTGGTTAATATTCCTAAAAGTGCTGGTGTACATTTAAAACTTTGTTTTACTGTGTCTGGATGTTGTTTTTATTCTGAATGAGGACTAGTGGAAATGTGACTAAGCTACTGTCTTCTTTCAGCCCCTTCTAAAAACATAAACACGTTTAATTCTCATAGGATTGGTGTGTCTATGATGCCACTTAACTGCTGCCTGATCTGAGTGACAGCTGTGATTTATCCTAGTAGCTGTTGGCAGAGGTGGTATCAGCTGAGTCACAGTGCTGATGGGCTGTGAGCAATGGGAGAACTAGATTTTAAGTCCCTTACATATGATAGTTTCTTGCACATAACTGTTTTTCTGTGTCTTCTTAATTATTTCTAAATAGGAAATGGAAATTGGTAAGCTGTAGTAACAGAATGCACCAGTTAAATGGAAATTAATTCAGTTAAATAAGAAGTATAGTAAATGGAAGGCAGGAGTACATTTTTGCACAGTTGTTTTGTTGGTTTTTTTTTGGTTTTTTTTTGTTTGGTTTTTTCTTTCTTGTTTTTTCATGATATAATTGGAAACAATGCTTTGTCTTTAAGTCATTGTTTCTGATGTACTAATTCTGGTTTCACTTGGAAGTGGTATCGCTGTAGCTTGTCAAATTGCTTACGTGTTCCCTTGTTGTTTTCCTGTAGGTAACGGCTATAGAACCCATAACTAATGACGGAGGAGCCAGTGTGAGCACTCGGCATCTGCATCAGAGTCTGCGATGGCTCTTTGGAGTGGCAGTGGTGGCTACAGACGTTGGACATCTGCTTCTGGTTGACCTTTGTCTGGATGATTTATCTTGCAGTCAGAATGAAATAGAAGCATCAGGTAAGCTTGCAGTCATATAAATTGAAATAGCTTCTTCAAGAGGCCCAAACTCTTGATTTACAGAGTCCAAGAAAAATCCGTCTGGGAGGGTTACCCTTTTACTGGGTTTGAAATACGGGTGAGAGTCCCGGTTGGGTCAGGCAGTTCTTATGTTATTTGAAGTTACCAATATGGAAATAGCAACAGTAAAATGAGATTACATGTGCTGTCACATCGGTGTTTAAAACGCTACTGCAGTGGCTTAACACAGTCGTTTGTTTTGTGGTTTTGTGTGTGTAGATCTAGAAGTTGTCACCAGAATTCCTGCTGAAGTTCCGCAAAGAAGAGAAACTGTGACGAGGGAAGGGAGACATCTCTGTTTTGAATTACAAAATCCATCAGGAACATCAATATCAGCGCTGTGCTACATAAGCAGAAGCAATCAGCTCGCTGTGGGTTTTTCTGATGGCTACCTGTCGCTATGGAATATGAAAACTTTGAAGAGGGAGTAAGTAGGCCTTTACGCTCTGCCATGCCTGGAGGTTCAGGAATCTCAATTTTTTGCTTCAGGAAGTGTGTTGGTGCAAAGAGAACTTTCTGAGGAACTAAAATGTTGAATATCCTCTTGGAATGCTTAGAAATCTTCTTCTAAAACAACTACGAAGTTAATACATGGATTAAATGGACCGCCTTCTCCCCAGTGGGCTAGGGTTGTTTTACTTATTCTTCCTGTTGATGGAAGATTTGTGGGAAGCATATTCCTTTGGGTTATGTCAAGCAGTTTGGATGTGATAGCTGAGCTGATTTTTTTATTTTTTTTTCTTTAAGTCAGTTTGTTCTATCAGTAATAATCAGTGAAACCAGGAAATGTGTGTATTTTGAAGAAACAGATTTTGGAAATTATTTTTGAGAACCAGTTTCTGGAATTGGGGCATATGTTGAAAGGCTTACCTACACAGTATGATTTTGGAGACGGAATTCTTTAAAGGGGGAAACTAGTGAGACATGAAAAATCCGCAGCTGATCGTTGCATAACATTAAATTCTCTCCTACATTTCAAGCAGGACCGAAATAGGGGATTGAGCCGTTGCAGTGCAGCAATGCCTGTTCATGACAGTTTGTTTGGAACACTTGGAAATGAGAGTAAGGGACATGTGAATTCATAAGGAATAGAAGAATTAAGAGATGATCTCAAATCTACCAACGAGAAACCTCACTTGTCCACTTTAGCAAATCTGCAGTGATGCACCAGAAATTCTTGGATGCATTAATAGATGCGGGAGCAATAAATAGGTGGCCAGCATAGATTGTGAAGGTGCAAACGAGGTTCAGAAGTCTGGATGAAAGATGCTTTCCATAGTTCAAGTAAAGAAAAGAGAAACTGCTTTCTGTTTGGCACTGTTCTAAATTGATTTAGAAGCTGTGCTGCATTTTTAGTTCAATACTGAAGTAGGCTACACCAGCAGGAAGAGTCTTTTGCCTGGCAGTAATTACTTCAGCAATTGCTTCAGTAATTGTTTATGCTCCTGCTCCTCAGGTAAAGGAGGACATAAACCAGAGTTCTTGCATTGGATGGACAGTAATTTCCTCACCTCTTGACTGTTGCATACCAAGTAGTTGCTTCTTTGTCTCACTAGTTTGAGCTGGAAGTGTGCCCTTCTGTCCTTTGGGGATAAGGACACAAGGTGCTCTGCTCAGAAAATGCTCCTACCCTTCTACAAAAAGTTAGGGCCGGTAAGCTCACCTTTTCTCTTTTTCTTTTTAAAACCTGCAGGCACCACTCTCAGCTTGAAGGAGGAAGGATTCCTGTCTATGCTGTTACTTTTCAAGAGCCCGAGAATGACCCTCGCAATTGTTGCTACTTGTGGGCTGTCCAGTCTACACAAGAAAGGTGAATAAACCCTTACTATAAGCCACTGAATTATTACGTTTTTATATATTTGTTAACATATGGTTGCTACACTTATATCAGTTAGAATCTCCTTAGCTGTGCGGGAGATTCTCTCAGTTATGGGAGGTATTAAGCTTACAATGCAGTTTTCACAGGGTTTAGCAGACATGAACAGTTCCTAGTTCTTACCTTCAGAAAAGAAGGCAGAGCAACAGTGGCTGTATTTTTGTGCTTGCATTCTTAAATGATTTCCTTTGGTTTTGATGACAGCTTCACAGTTTGTATTTCCCTCCATGGTATCAAAACACCAATAAAAGTAGTTGAGGCTGCAGATCTGGAAGACTAAACATGCTGATATAGCAGCCTTCTGCCTCTGAAGGAGGAGGTGACAGTAGTACTGATTGCCTTGACCCTGCTTCAGCATTCTTTGGAGCCTTTGTGAGCTGGTTCAGCTCACATGGCAGCAAATGATCCCTGTTCAGGAGAGAAGCCAGTGTTTTCCTGCTGGACTGGTAAATCAAATCAGGATGTGGAAGATGCAGTGTATGCAGGAGAGGGACTGGGGCTTTGGTGGGAAGGGAGAGGGAGAAAGCTCTCTCTCAGCATCACCAAGCTATGTGATCAGCTCAGCTGTTCACAGAGTTGCAGTCTTGTAAAGTTTGACTTTAAAGCAGTCTTGATCACAAACTCTTCACTGTGAAGAACTGTTTCCAAGACATTTTGGTCCCTGCAGCATCTTAAAGCTTTCATATGGTATGGCTGGCATTTGCCGCTGAAGCTGTTAGCGTCCCCGTTTCCTCCGATCTGTATTAGTGGCTAAATGTGACCAATTGTCATGTTTTGGGAAGTGGTGTTTTTCTTTTTTACAAGAGCATGCTATTAAGGTAACTTCAGTATAGGTCTTATGAACTAATAATGAGAACTATAGAGCAGCTTTGTAATCAGATTTCATCTTTGATACCTTTTTCAGTGAAGGTGATGTTGTGAGTTTACATCTGTTGCAGTTAGCATTTGGTGACAGAAAACGCTTGGCTTCAGGACAAGTCATGTATGAGGTAAGACATGCACGTGTGTGGAAAGATAGTAACAATAGTAATTTTCTCTGAATGAGAATTAGTGAAGCTGGAGGGGCTGATGTTAAATGGTTAGAATTCAGAGCAGACAAAAAAAGGAGTCATTTTCTGAGTCTTCTTGGGCCTGGCCTTTGTGTTTTTTGACAGCCACAACAATTTTGTACTGCAGCATCATGTGTTCCAACTAGAGTCATCTGCAAAGAGCCCAAATGAATACAACTGTTCAAGAGGAAATAGCCTTTAGATATAAAATTGTTCTTAATTTAAACAGCAAATTAATGATGTGTAGCTCAAGTAGACAGGACTTTGAATACCTTTGTGTAACCAGAGTTTAGACCCAGAGAAGCTTCTTTCTGTCAGCCTTTCTTAAAATATGGTTTTACCTCTCTCTCTCTTTGTCTCTCTGTGTCTTTATTCACTTCTGCTCTTTGTCTTATTTTCTTGTTTTTCTTCTAATTGTCGGGTGGGTTACTCTTAAAGCCAGCAAAATATGGAAATGCAATAAAGAGTGGCATGATTTGATCAGAAAGGTATACAATACATTTATAGAACTGGCTCCAGAGATTTTATGTTAAAAATATAGATGGGATATCATTATATCTGACATATCTTAACAGATAATGTGTCTGTATACTGTGCAAGTCTACTCCATAGTATGCGTCAAACTCCGCAAAACTCATTTTGAGGGGAAAGTAATATTAATTCAGAGCAAATCTTTCCTCCTGTTTTGATACTTTCTTTTGCATATTCTCAATAGTTATGAAATGAAATAGGAATGATTCTTGTATCTTGGTACTCTTGTTTTATAGGGACTGTATGTTTTTTCTTTTTTTTGCCCAAGTTTAAGTTTTGATCTTGTATTTTTTCCTTAAAGATAGGAAAGCCTCTTCCTCATATGGAATTATAACTTTTGAATAGATACAGTCTTGGTGCTGGGAAATGGTGATGTTTCCTTAAAAGGTATTCTCTATCATGGGGACAAAGTAGACAACTGATTGAATGTGTTCTAAGTATGGATGTCATCTCTTTTTCTTTGTTGTTGTGCAGCTTTTTAATGACATAAATACAGTGCTCTAAAGCAACAGAGCACCCTGATTCGGATTTTCAATTTTAAAAGATTTTCATTATAGTTAACTGCTGCAGGTCTTTTTAGTGCTCTAAGCACTTTGGCTGGTTGATAGGAGAAACTGTCTTCAATCTTTCTCTCATTTTACTGTTGAACTCCTGTGTTTTATCCTTTAGAAGTTCTTTTTTAGCTGCAGTCTTTGCAGTGGCTAAGACGATACCTTGTGCTGTATGCTGCTTTGGAGAAAAAGCAGTTTTCTGTATCCATTCTTCTCATGGCTACTTCGTTTTGTCTCAACCCTTTAAAGTTTTAACATGGGACCTTTAACTATTTGGCAGTTCTTTGTCTTGGTCTCCTTATTTTCCTGAAGCAGATTAAGCGAATGTCAGTTTTTATCTCTGTGAGTCAAATGTTTCATCATCCTTTGAGAACGGGTTTTCTAGACATTTCAGCAGACAGGCTATAAAAAGCACCCAATGTGATTAAGTAATGTTCCTGTGTTTGTGGCTTGAGAAAGCCGTGATGTAGTTAATGGAAGACTTTTAATCCTCTACAGACTATGCAGCCAGTAACACGTTCACAGGCTTATAAGAGGTGTCAGGCACCTGAGTCTGGATTAGAGGTGTTTTTCTCCTGTGCTGTTTCTGCTTCCCTGCGATGAAATGTGGTAGAAGATTGAAACAGGAGCTAATCTGTCAAAGTAGTCAAAGGACAAACTAAATAGCTGGACCTTCTGGGGAGAAAAGACAGGTTCTTCAACTAGGTTTCAGATGGGCCACTTACACATATAGCTTCATACCAAGACCTGGTAACACCTACTGCCAAAGAAAGCCATCAAAACCAACCCCCACCCCTTGCCCCCCACCAGAGATGCATTAAGGCAGGATCTGTGCTTTACAGTGGACACTGTTAGTCTCAGAATATTTCCTTGTAGTCGTAGGTTGCTCAGTACTACATGACTGACTCTCTGCATGGCAGTCTGAGTCAAGTTTCTTGTACATCTTCAGCAGCAGAAAATTTGAGAGTCGTTCCCCTTTACCAGGCCAAGTCTGAGTACATGAGCAGTGAACTCTTGATCCTTGTCCACTGAATAGAATTCCTAAGAGCTTGAAAGACTTGTCTACTACAGCAGTGCTTTACGTTCCAGGAATCAGAGTTGAGGCTATGCAACAGTGCATCTTGGACTTTGTATCATGGTAAAAAGACACTAAGAGGACTTTTGGAAAATGTGACAGTGTTTTTGTAGATGTGTGTCAAGCTTGTGTCTCGATTGCCTTCAAGGCTGGTGCAAGTCTGCTCAAGTAATTAAACATAAAGGTATGCTTTCAAAGATCTTTTTTATACTGTCTCAGCAGTTGCTAAATCTGGTGCATCAAATCATGGAGCACATCTTTACCTTGGTCCTACACAATAATTGTGGATTGGCAGAGTGTACAGTCTCTACTTTCATACCAGAGTCTGACCAGTGCATCTCATTTGGAAACTGTCTTCATATTTTCCTGGTTGATAAAGTCATTCTCTAGTATCTTCCATACAGTGGAGTTCCTTAACTTAGATTAAGTTAAGATTAAACTTAATTTAGATTAAAAATTAAGATTTTTCCATGGAGTGGAAAACTTAAAGTATCTTGGTTTGCTTCTGGAGTTGTCTTAGGCAGGACTGTGTGCTATTATTTTTCCCTTCTCCTCTGCACCAACTTTGTGGGGGACTGATTCTTCCTATATGAATCAAAGTTGAAATTTCTAGTTGTTAAAATGAATCTCTGACAGATTTATGGAGTTTTATTACTTTATCTGATGAAACTGGTTTTAGTGATTATTCATTCTACAATAAAAAATGAGAATCTCTGCTTAGGCTTTACGCTAACTTTTCAAAGAGGTGGTTTTGATATTTGTTATCTACTCTGCACGTGTCTGTTACTTCCAAAGTTTGAATGGAATGTGTGTGCTTCAGAGCAAAGTGTAGTTTGGGAAATGCTAAATTATGAAAATGTAAAAAGCCTTTACAGCCAATCATGCCCATTACATGCACCCTTTCGCGTGTCAGATGTAGTTTTTGTTATCAGAATTAAGCTCAATGTAATATAGATACTGTATTAGAAATACACATTTTTTTCCTATTTAAGTATAACATACAGGTTTTTAATCTCAAAATGACCATTTATTTATTCTATTTTACCCCAGGGTTTGGAATACTGTGATGAAAGGTACAGTTTAGAGCTCACGGGTGGAGTCTTTCCCTTCAGAGGGCAGACCAGCAATACTAAGCTACTCAGCTGTCAGACCGTGGAAAAATTTCGCAACCACATTGACAGAGAGGATAGTGTTAATGAAGGTTTGTTCTGATGTCTGTGTTTGCTTACTGTAAAAGAAAGGTTTTAGGAATCTAAGCAGTGAATGCCGTTCTGTGTGCAAGTATTGAGTATCCATAGTGACTAGCTTCTTAGGCTTATTGAGAAAGAAAACTTGTCATATGAGGCTTAGCTCATGGAGAAAATATGGAGGTTGCTTTATGCTTGCTCTTATGGTGTAGCAATGTGTGATGGGGTCATCTGTGTAATGCTGGTTAGTTCTTTTATTTTTCCAGCTGTTGTCTTTGAACAATCAGATGATTCAACAAACAACACCCTCCTGCCCCCCCCCCCCCCCCCCAAAAAAAAAAGAACAAACCAACCTGAAGCCCAACAAATGAAAACAACAATAAAAAGTGATGTGAGGAGGCATGGAGAAACACCTGTAATTTTTCTGGTCGTTTCTAATTAGCTTTTATTTAGAACCTGCTCAGTTTAAGTTGTAGGTTCTGTTGTGTGTTGGTTGAAGCCATCAGTGAAGCTGTCCTCTGAATCATGAATTGATAACTTCAAAGCCAGTCTCAGCAGCTTACAAAACTGAAACAGCAAAGAAGTACACAATGGAACACAGTAACGTGTTTGAGGATCCCTGAACAGTAATGATGATGAATTTAACAGAGAGCAGAGAAATATTTTCTCAAACAGTCAGGATCTTTTCTCTGTTAGTGTAAATGATATACACATGCTTTGCTTCCATCTGGAGAATGCATTCTCCCTAGAGAAGACAGACCATGCCACTTCTTGAGAAAACTGGAGTGTAACACTGTCTGTGTTTGAAATTAAAGCCTTTATTCCAATTTCCCCTTTCTCGGGTTTTGTTCTTTTATTTATTTCTTTTGTGTGATAATTTTGGTTTTTGATTCTGAGTGTACTCAATTTCTTGTCTTTTGTAGTAGTGTCTCCTGACACCAGCGTATCAATCTTCAGTTGGCAAGTGAATACCTATGGCCAGGCAAAACCATCTACCTATTTGGGTGTGTTTGACATTAATCGCTGGTACCATGCTCAAATGCCAGATTCACTAAGGTAGATTTTTATGTAGTGCTTTTCAGTATCCCAACAAATAATTCATTGGGAAGTCAGTGTTTCACTTACACGCTTGTTTCCTTTAAGGCCAGAAGAATTCCTTCATGATTGCCCCTACTTTGCCTTGTGGTCACTGGATTCTGTGATAAACATGACTTCTCCAAACCTCATTTTGGATATTGTGGTACATGAGCGGAGTCTAAGTCGGGGAGTTCCTCCTTCTTATCCACCACCTGAGCAGTATTTTAATCCAAGCACCTATAATTTTGGTAGGTATTTCCCTGATTTTGATAGTGATAAGCTAAAATAGAGGTCAGATGCCACTTACTGGTTCTTTTGTTTGTTGTTGGTGGCTCAAAAAGCAAAGCAGAGAACACCAAATCCCCACCAACCCAATAACTAGCACTACTCAATACCTTGATAGTTATGCTGTCCTAACAAGGTATTGAATATTGTGAAACATCTCTGGCAATCTGCTGAGTTTTGGGGTTTGTTGCTTTTGTAAAGTAGTAGTCTGGGAAGTGGTGATGGTCACCAAATGAAATGAATTTGAGCTGAAGCTCCAAGCACAGCACCTTAGTAGCACCAGAGATAAAATTGCTACAGGCGGTAATTAAATAGTAGAAAAAGCTTGTAAGTGATCTGATGAAGCAAATGGGTGCTCAGTTCTATCTTTCCAGGTACTGCTATTTGTAACATGCAAACTGCTCATAACAGCAGGCTATCAAACATTCCTTGTTTCTGCAGATGGTACGTGCTTGCTGAAGTCTGGAGTTGTTCATATGACCTGCACCGGCTTCCAGAAGGAGGTGACCTTTTCCTGCATCTTTATTGAGATGTACCTTTCCTAGGTTTTCCAGTGCACTGCTTTCAGTGCCAGAGACCACTTTATGCTCATCCTGCCCATCCACATGTGTCATTGCAAGTGTATCGTGCCATAGCAATGTTTTTGGTCCTCTCTTGGGACTGTAAAACTACAGTTGCCACCTGTTGAGGCACGAGCAGGGATTGAATGTCTGGAAAGGAACACAGCATTGCTTGAGAAGCAAGAACGAAAATGTGGAAGTCAGGAAACATGGTTACCTTTTTATTACCCATCTACCAAAGTGCCAATCTTGAGATTGGGTTTTGATGTCTGAGTACCTTGAAAAAGGAGGACAGAATGGAGAAAATAAAAGATGATTTAACTCCTTAAGAAGAAATCAATGTTTTGTCTCACTGACTTGGCCAAATTACAGCTTCTGAGACACTGTACAGATTGTGACCAATAATGGAACTAAAGCTCTGAAATAAGTTTCTGAAACTGAATTAAGTTTGAGCTCACTAAGTATTTCCAACCTAAGGAAGATTTTTCTAGAGTGTGATTTTAAATTGTGTGCTAGTTTTAGCTAGCAGTGAACACTGTGTCAGTGGCTGGGGAAAAGGGAAGGCCTGTGTCCGTGTCCTGACAGGGAAGCTAGGAAATAATTCAGTATTGCAAGGGCTGATGTTTTGTATTACAGGATTTGTTTGTATAAACTGAAACTCTTGGTTTGCTGCTGTCTTTTAAGACTATAGAGGAATGCTTGCTTATTCAGACTGGCAACCTAAAGCATGTTACTGGCACAGGCTTTCTGGCAGCTGCAGGGAACATTTGCATTACTTCTCCTAGCGGTCATCCAGACCTTTAGTGATTGAATAATAACGCTGTCTTGACCTGCCTTTTCAGACCTTGAATTTTTTGAAGAAATCTGGCCCTTCAGTAAGTGAAGCCATTCATGATAGCTACAATAGGTGTCTTGCCGCTGGCTTGCTGTCTCCAAGACTAGTGGATGTCCAGCCCTCCAGTTTGAGTCAGGTGAGTGCATATGAGGGAACCAAGGGGAAAATACATCCATTTTATCTGGTAGGGCTCTAGGAGCTGCAAGACATTATAATCTGATTTTTGTGTTACGTACAAGTTGCCTTGAAATGTGGGTGTTACCTTAGTTAGCCAACTAGTATTCTTGGTTACGAACTGCTAGTAACTTAGTACTGGTATTCTCATACCCAGATGACTGAGTTTGCCTGAGAACAGCCCCCATACACCTGTCTTTAGAGACCCGTCTATTAATTCTGGGTGACACAAAAGCAGAAGGAAGTATGAAGCCAAAGTTGGTCAAGTGCAACGTGGAGAATCTTTCTCTTAGTATAACTTTTGAATGTGTTTATAAAACCCCAAACTAACAAAAAGTAAAATTTTATGAAGGGTCATTTCACTGTGAATGAGTATCAAAACAGCAGCTGAAGAAAGCTACTGCTTAATCTTGCAAGTCTATGCATACATGTGCATAGACATCCTTGGGATGGATTCCTACTCAAGGATCACCACTACATGATTATACTGTGTTTCAACTGCCTAAAATTTAAACATATTAAAATTTAAATGTTTCACTTATGTCATTTTTAGAAAGTTATAACTTAATGTTTCAGGTGCCAGAACCACTTCATGTCTTCATAGTGTGGAAAGCTGCTTGACCTTTGCTTGACTGTTTCCACACATACATTTCCTGGTTGTATTTGTTCGGTCCCCTTCATGCTTTCCTGATGGCAAACTTACTACACAATACGTGTAAAGGGTATTAGCAGAGGATGTTACTGAGAAGAGTAAATTGCATCTCAGTGTATTAAGACTGCGATGCAGAGGCATGCAAAAAGATTAGAATTAGCATAAATAGGAATGTCAGGAAAACTGCGATGTGTTCCTCAGGTCAAGAAGCAGTCCTGCTTGTGGCTGGAATTAAGCAAAAGAATGTGGCATTATTAACACGTGTACTAATAGACTTTGTGATATCTGAATGGGTGTAGGGGTGGAAATGCTCTTGATGGTTCAGGTACTGAAAGTGTATAAAATTCTCATTTTATGTGTTCTGTTATGTTTAGGAGGAGCAGTTACAAGCGGTATTGTCAGCTGCTGTCCACACAGGTTCTTTAGAGCTTCTGACTGGATGCATTAAACACTGGACATCTGAAGGTAATCCTTCCCACATTGCCTTTATGATAGATTTTTTTTTTTCCTGAGATTGTGGCTTAATTTCTGTTTTTTTTCTTTTTTTTTCAGAGCAGCCAAATTCTGCTGCTAATTTACGGTTTGTTCTTGAGTGGACGTGGAACAAAGTGATCTATGCAAAACACGAATTTGACCAAATTGGTGAGTACCAGTGTAGTCACTGTGCACACAGGAAGTCATTGTTTCTCCTTGAGCTTCTTCAGTCAATGTAATGGTTTGACATTTCTTCTTCTTGAAAAGGTGTTCCGCTGTTTGATGGCTCTTGCAACTTCATTGACCCGCAGACATTGCAATCTCTTCAGCACTGCCAGTTGCTTCTGAGCAACCTTAGCACAATCTTAAACTGTTTCCTAAGAGAAGCACAGGAGCTTACAGAAAAAGGTTTGTAAGAGCCTTACAAAATCTTCTGGTATGTTTTACTACAATTTGAAATTAGGCTTGGGTTGTAATTGGGGAAACATGAGCTTTTATTGCTTTTGATGATTGGAAGACTGTCCAAGTCAGCTGGCAGGAGAGCCTTAAATCTGAGAAGTGTGGACTACCTCTTAATATACATTAATGTCAGGGAAATAGTTTGTTGTGGTCTTCAGGTAAGGGGGTATGGGAGGCTGCATTCAGTAAGAAGCTTTGTAAGCGGCAGGCTTGAATTTACAGCAGTTGAACGTGGTAATGCTGAAAATCTTCCCCTTAATTCCTAGATACCAATTGATAATTGCATGCAAATTACTAAATTCATGATGGAAGCATAAATGAGTAACTTGCAATGTAGGTTACTTGAGTTTCTATTGCTTTGTATGTGGAAAAATAAAATACCGCTTTGCTATTGTAAAAATCTCTGATACGTGAAAACCAGGTGCCTCATTCAGGAATGTATTTAATAGTTCAGGCTTTTTAGTAACGTTATTTTTTATTTTTATTTTTAGTGAATCTGTTGTTTCGTAGTTGTTGCTTTTTGCTTTGGTGGTTGTTGTGGGGTTTTCTTCAAACACAAATGTGAAACAGTGAAAAATGCCAAGACATTTTTATACTTTCTATTGGTCTGATGAAGGGACTTTTGTCAGAATGAAAGGAATTCCATAGCAAAAATTATGTCATGCCTTTTTTTCAGGTTGTGCAGACCTGAGAAATAAGCAGGTGGTAACCAGCCTCATTTCTTTGTATGCACAAGTGGTCATCTGGTTTTGTCGATCCAGTCTCCTCCCAGAGGGTTTAGGTAAGTATCAAGTGCAGTAATGTGTGTAACAAGGAGAGTGTGCACTAAGTAATTCTGTCATTGCATTCTTAGCAGTGCTTGTGTAAATGTTTCACTAATCCCAAATTGTGCTGGTTCAGGGTCAGTGTATGCTGAAGTTTTGTGGGTGAAACGGAGGTTTTACTCAGTTTTCAAATTCATAGTGTAGAATAATGCAAGCAGTTTTTTCCTGGATGTTTTTATGTGAGAGCAGTAAGCCTCTGACTTGAAGGAGCTGCTTGTGTCCACATCTTAAAATGCCTGGGGTTTTAATCCAATTACTATTAAACAGCAAATCCTGAAATGTATTTTATACTGTAAAAACATGACTTGAAGAAAATGTTTGGTTTTGGTTTTTTTGATATACTGAACTAGAGTTTATACTTCATGTTCTGAATTCCACGTGCACTGTAAGCCTGAAAGGCACTGGAGACAAGAAGGAACTGAGTCTTGTGCCTTACATCTCTTAGCAAAGATAGAAGCAGGATGGGCTTCTTTCAGAGTTGGAAGCTTCCATGTGCTTCTTGATTTTTAGCTTGTATCATTCTGTCTTTTGAGTCAAAAATTTTAGTTTAAAAATGTGATACTATTTCTTTAACTTGCTTTTTCTTTATTGCCTGTAGATGATGATATGCATTTGTCTAGACCTTTCTACAACTATCCTTTGATTCAGAGGTACTATACTGGCCATCGACAGAAACTTGAACGTTTATCAGGGTAAGGCTTACGGGAAATCTCTAGTACACTTCCACTGCAAATTCAGAAGTGGAAGTGAATGGCTTTCTGTAGCAACAGCTTTATTTGCTAAGCTCAGTGCATTGGCCGGCAATGCTCTAGACATGAGTGATGTTTGTGTTCTGTTGGTCACAGAGGTTACTTTCTTTTGTTAAATGTTTATGTATAGGTGTGCTTAGTACCATTTGTTGGTATTGTCCGTTCTTGTAGTGTACTTAGTGCACTGGCTCATCTGTACTTGTTACTGCTGAAAAGGGCCACGTGTTTAGGATCAGTCACCTCCAGTTCAGCAAAGTGCAGCTTTTGCAGAGCAGTTGGACACAGAAGAAAGCACAGTTCTGGTTTTGGTTTTAAATAAGTAAGATGTTTTCTGTTGTTGACTAGTAATAGGAGGTAATAATTGTTCTGGCCTAAGCCTCCTACTCACACAGACATTTGTGTAATTTAGTGAGATAGTGTCAGTTATGTGTAGCTGGCACACCTAGCACTCTACTGGCTGTTGGATAAAGTTCACTTCCACATGTAAAGTCTCTTTTGTGGACTGGCTTACTAGGCTGTAGGTGATATCCTTTGGATTAGGTCATAGGAGATTCCTCTTCAGAAATTGCACTGAAAACTTACTAAGGACTCGACGCTTAGTCCACGGTGTAGTGAACAAGATGCTGCAAGATGAGTTAAGATGGAAGCTGCAGGGTGTTAGGTATTGGAAGTTCATCTCACTTGGCTTGTCAGGTAACTTACAGTCTTGTGTGTTTCTTACAAGCATACAAGCTGTGGTGTGCTGTTGCTGCTTTTTATCATCAGGAAATGACAGGGTAAGTCCCAGTCAGCAGAAGACTGGGATGGACTTTTGAAGAACGTTCATCCATCCATAATTGCAGTGGTGTGTGTAGAGAAACATAAAAGATGCTGTTAAGATGCTGCTAAAATTTCATGTTTGCTCAGCTTTGTGACAGTCACTTTAATTTCAGTAACCAAGGTGAAATGCTGAGAATCAAATCTGAAACTTCCTTTATGTTGTCTCCCACCTCTGTGTTGGAACACTCTATTTAAGGCATTGGATTTGGCATAGGGAACAGTCCTGGTACTTTAGTACTGGTATGTTTCCTCTGTTAGACAGGATGAGCGTGGTTATTTCTGGCACTTTAAAAACTTAGTTTTCCTTGGGTAATACAAGTAATGCAACAAAAAAGAAAACTTGAAAACTAAAAGGTCATCACAACTTTTCCCTTAATAAGAGAGCTTTTAGGATTACTGCTTTGTACTCCTTTAATAACTCAATATGATCTAACAAATGTTTTTCATCTGAGTTGGAAATGTCTTTCATGTGCCCTTCAAACCATATTCAGGCCTCTGTATGTTTGTTACTTCCTTGACTTATGGGAGCTTTTGCTTTGTGTTGACTGAAGGAAATTCTTAACACCTAGTGGCTGGAGCCTAGGTCCAAATCCTTGCTACCTTTTGTTGCAGGGGAAAATGGGATTCTGACTGCTTGATGATTGATGGAATGGTTTCCCAGTTAGGAGACCAAGTCGAGAAGCTGTGGAGGAGAGATGAAGGAGGAACTGGGAAATACCCACCGGCTAGTTTACACGTAGGTGTTACGTTCACTGAAAACAGCAGCACCAACGAACCCCCACCCAAAAGCCAGTGATTTCTGAAAGACAGGAGCTTTCTAACAGCTTGTAACTTTCCCTTTCAGGCCCTGCTGGATCTCTATTTGTTAGAAAGCATTGAAGAGAGCTACAAACATGCAATTGTATCCTTTCTAGTAATTCTCATTGCACCTTCAGTATATGCACATTAGTATCTTTTCTGCTGTGGGAAAGCAGGCTTTCTAAGAAATGTTGAAGACAAAACCCTCCCTTAGTTTTTCTCAAAATGGAGCCCAGTTTTTGGTTTGCTGAAGCGCCTCTATCTCTGGCAAATGGCTTGTTACTGGAATGGTTCACAAAACTGCTGCTTCAGAGCAAAAGTTTCCCTACCAGTGGTTTACCAGTACATGAATTCACTGTGATTCTAGCAGCAAGGTTTGAGACGTAAGGATGCAGAAGTGACTTTTCAAGCTAATTCTTGTCCTTTCCGATGCTTAAGGCTGTCCTTTATGATGTTATAAAATCTGTTAGTCTGACAGAACAATATGTTATTTAGTAACGTGTTTATAAGGAGTGCTGTTTGTATACAGATGGCTGATTAACCTAGACAAGTGTGAATTACTCCTCTTACAGCTCTCGCTTTGTTCTGTGTGATTAAATGATTTTGTCAGAAACTTTTGAATATCTTTGTTACACGTGTGGCTGTATGTATCGTAATAAACCGGATCTCTACCGTCTACAGAATTCCCTGGCCCTGCTCTTTCATCCAGCTACGATCAAAACTGTGTCCTGGCAACATAGGAGGATTATTCAAGCCCTCATGAGCCAAGGAGAGCACAGACGAGCCCTCAGATATTTACAGATGATGAAGCCATCGATGTCAAGCAGTAGTGAAGTTCGGCTTTTCCTCACCGTGTTGTTGTCCAATAGGTAAAGGAACCTGTCCCTCCATTCTGGCACTCCAGTATTGTGACAGGTGCAGAACAAGGGGCACAAATCACCAACCCCTACATTTCCTTAAAGCTTTGAATACAGTAGTTTGGGCCATTTTGGGGTTATGCTATTAGTATTCCGTTGCATTTCAGCCAAATGAATTACTGGTATTCCTTTGTATCTCAACCAAATGACCTGCAGGTGCATGGTGGAGGCCTGGGCTCTGTTGCACCAACACACGACTAAGTTAAATACGGAAGAGCTGTTAAAGCACATGTATGAGCTCTGCCAGGAGATGGGACTAATGGAAGACTTGCTGAAGCTGCCTTTCACCGACTCTGAACAGGTAAGCGTGGACAAGAAAAAAATCTGAATTGGAAAGAGAAGAGGCAGAAGCACAGTAGATTTCTCCAATGTGTTCTTTCCCACAGGAGTGTCTGGAGAAGTTTCTGCAGACCCGTGCTGGTGATCAGAATCATGAATTTCTTCTAGTCCACCGTCTGCAGCGTTCCAATTATATTCCAGCACTGCAGTTGAATCAGTCAATGAAGGTTAATCTTATGGTAAGTGTAATATTTGTGTTGGATTTGCAAGTATCTGTTAGGAGTTACTCGCTGGTTGTGTTTTTTTTACTTAGTAAAAATTCTGCTTTGTTTTGTAAACCATTTTTTTGAAATATTAGGAATAAGTTTCTACACCTTAAGTTACATCTGAACATGAAATTTGAACAGAGTATTTCTCCAGAGGTGCTCTGTGAATATCTGTGTTAAAGAATGCACACCGTTGTTGCCTTTGCTTAAATAAGTTTGTTTGCATCTGTGGACTAAACATCCCTATCTTTTCTATCAGTCAGCTGTATCAGTCAGTTGCTCAGGTGTGTATGTTTTGTATGGTTTAGCTAATTGCAAGATTGTTATGTCACTCCTTTCTGTGGAATAAAGGGTGTGTTGTATGTCACCACAGTTCTGTGCAATATGTCCTCTCTTGTGTCTTGCACGCGACTTCATTTTTCTAGCTGAGGCCAGTCTGGATGTCTGTCCACAGGTAAAATCGGTGTGGGATTTTTTTGTTTTCACATTCCATACCTCTCATTTCACCACTTTCTTGACAGACATTCTCAGCTAACTTTTGTTTGTCAAAACAGCCAGTTTCAGTTTTGTGAACATCTGTTATGAATCTGTGATACATCTGCTGTTCTCTGAAATCAGGTTTTCCAGTGAATCCCAGTTACAGGGTAGTCTTGGAAGCTTTAGGTTCCCCAGCTGAAGTTTTTCATCCAGCTAGAATGTGTTGCATTGTAGGGAAAGCCCGCTGTTTTGTAAGCTGTTTGAAAATTACAGGTTATACAAGTGTATCTGAAAAAGGTTCCGTGGAGCGCCAGAATGCCAGAATTGTTTTAACTTAGAATTGTCATCTCTCTTGTGATTTACTCCTCCTTCCTCTTTGCAACCAACACCAGATGAAATAGGTGTGTGCTGCTGGGTAAGAATTTGATGCTCTTCTGTGCAGTGGATGTATTTTATCCTATCTGTAGAGAAAGTTTATACAGGGATGGGTGCGCTTGTGGTGAGGTGCAGTGAACTTGTAATCAGTTAATGTTCTGCTTTATGCTTTTCATTCATCAGGGTGATCGTGATCCTCGCCTGAGAGAGAGAGCAGTTGCCAGAAATTCTATATTAGAACAGTATGGCAAGATCCTTCCTAGAGTTCAAAGGAAGCTGGCTTTAGAGAGAGCCAAGCCTTACCACTTGCCTTCATCAGTCTTAAGAGAAGGTAATTTTTAGGGGGCAGCTATACTGGACAAGTAACCAGCGCTTTGATTCCACAAGGGTGATCTTCTTTCTCTCTTGCATTCCAGTTGCAAGACCAAAGCCATTATCAACAGTAGCAAAACAAGCTAATGCAGGACCTGTGCATACAAGAGCAACTTTCATCAGTAACGTGTTGTCCAAAATTGGAGAAGTGTGGGTAGGAAATGAGCAGAAAACCAGTTTTTTACAATATGATAGGTAAGCAGCCTTTTAATAACATTTCATCTTGAGCTGTGTATTTGGAAAGGGAGAGAAATCCATGTCAATTACGTTAGTGTTTTGGAGGGAAGGTGACCTGAAGAAAGCTTTGTCTGGGTTTTTTGCACATGCAGTATATAGCATTTCAGAATTGGTACCATCATCAGTTACATTTTCCTTTCAGTTCTAGCCCTAGAGCTACAGAACCACCAGCACATCCTCTCCCTGCTGCAGAGTTGCCCGATGCATTTGTTGGGACACCAGTTACAAAATTCTCACAGAAACGTTCCAGGTATAGTAGATCTACAGAATGGGTGTTTCAAGAAAGGGCTCCCATTTGTAAATACATATGTGTGTGTGTGGGGGGGTGTGTGTGTGTGTGTATGTATGTACGTGTGCGTATGTATGCGTGTGTATTCTTTCTGTCTTTGCAAAGTCTTCTGTTTGCATTGAGTTTTGTATGTGCTAAAGAAAAGGTCAGCTGAGGGGAACACACTGAGAAGTAGAGAATTCGAAGTGGTCCCAGCATTGACAGGTAGAGGAATTTCCTTCTGACGCATGCGTTACATCACTTCTTCAACTTAAAGTTGGGTTATTCTTGTCTCAGAGGCGGAGATTTAGGACATTAAGCACAAACGGTAAAGAAGTGATTTCTCGTTCAGTGTTTTTGTTAGGTATCATCTCGGATTTCTTGAACACAATTTTGTCATGCATTGTTTATGTTCCTGTTTGAAATTGTGCCTCTTAACAGATTGCTGGATTCGGTGGTTCGTCCTGTTCCTTCGTGTTCTGCAGAGCAGGGTGGTGGCTGGCAGTCATCATGCAGAGATTCTACTTCATTCATGGCATCCAGCCCAGTGAATTCAAATCCGCATGGTTCCGCCTTACAGAAGAAGTTTTTAAGAGCATCAGAGCTGAATCTGCTAGAGACTCCTCTGGTGGTTAAGGTTTGTGTTCTAAAAGACCAGTAACAACCAACCACAACAAAAGCCTGTAAACGGTCTTCGAAATGAACCCCCCAAAGTACTAACGCAAACACTGTTGGATTCAAAGTGTGGAATCTTTTCAGCATGCATGTATGTGGTTATTGTACATACAGTACTTTCAGAGCAGTATGTTGGGAACAGTCTTGAATGGGGAAGGCTTTAGTTCTGAGTTAGTTGCAGTGTGCAGGAGGTTTGTGAAATCCACTTGCTTTCATTGCATGGATCCAAGTTAAAATTGGACTTTTCAGTATACTTAGATCCTTAAAGGTGCAATATCTGGCTTAACCATCTCATTTAAGTGCTCAATAGTTCTCTATAGTTTGACATACAAGCAAGCTGCATATGCTTCAGTTTCCTAATCCAGTTCAGTGAATGACAGCTGAGTGATGTAGGTTAAGTGATGTTAGTCTGTGTGAAATATAGTGATGGCTTTTTTGCAGTAATTTTACCCATTAGTTGTTTGGGTTAAACTGTGTTCCCATTCACAGCCATCACAATGTTACAATAAAAGAAATACCATTTGACCTGTCATCTTGGTGCTGATTTTTTTTGTCTTTGCCTGCTTGAGCAAAGCAGTTGTGATCTCTCAGAGTTCTGTTTTCTTCTTCTTATATATTGTCCATGTCATGAAGCTAGTTTCATTATCCTCCTTTTAATCCCCTGTAAAACCTTTACTGAGCTAAGCTAAGAAGACCTGAATGCTTCTGCTGAAGAAAGCTGTACTGTTGGCTGTTCCCTAGCCCGAAAGCTTAACTGGTGCTTACTGATTTATATGTACACTGGGTTTTGGCTTGTCTGCCTTCACTGAATTTAGGACAAACTACTTGCAGCTTTCTTGTTCATAGATACATAGGCATAAAAGGCAAGTTTTTGCAAACAAGTCTTTCCTGAATTTTTTGAAGGATGGCATGTTGCTATTATGTGACACTTTAGCAACTTTTGGCAAGGCAGAGGTTTTTTTTTACAAAATTCTCTTGACCATATTTCTCTTCATAGTTAATTTTTTTTTAAATCTTTTTTTGTATTTGCAGCCCATGCTCTCTCCATAATACTGCCTCCTTTAAGTTATTGAAGACAGTGCTGTCAAGGCTCAAAGCTCAGAAGACATACCTGAAACATCAAGACAAAAAGCAGATTCCATGGAGACTGCTGTGGAGTGTGTTCTTCCTTCTGCCACCGCGGGCAAGCACTATGACTTAGAGGCTTGGGACAGTGTAACTATTGAACGATTAGGCTTTTGCAGCCAAATGAGTTTTATTGGAACTAGACTCAGGAAAGGTGTTAGTTCATACAGTTATGTTTTGAGTTCAGACTTCAGGCTTGCTAATAACAGAGAACTCAATACCACGTTTGTTAAGGCGATCAATCAGCTTTGTTTTGTAGAAAGCAGCTCCTGGAGAATACACACCACCCCTGTTAATGAAAATAAAAACATTAGTGGTAAAATGAAATTGAGCGACACTTCTTTTAGAAGTCAAATGTATGTTCCTTGCCAAAAAAAGCACCACTCTGTCCCACAGGAAAGCCTGTGAAGAACTGGGCAAGCTGGTCATATTCATAGGTTCATTTCTGGATCCAGCAAACTTAATACTGATGCAATACACGATGCAAAAGCACTACTAAAAACCTCTGAACTACATCCTTTCAAATTAAAAGGCAGATGAAGAATAAGTGGCTTTAAAGCAGCTTGTGGTGAAAGATCTCCCTTGCACAGCCATTTGAGTGAGGTAACACAGAAATCCACAGGGTTATGAGATCTGTATTTTCAAAGAGAAACAAGTGCACACAGTAGCTTTAGGGGAGATCAAGCTGCTCTGCATGGGAAGTACTTACTGTTTAGGCAGAGAAGTTGCATCTTCCAGAAGAGACACAGCTGCTTGAACCATTGCAATTGGTGTAGCAATGTAGCCAGGCTCTGACAAAAACAAGACAAAAACCAACCACCATGTACAGTGTGTTGAAATGTAGAATTTCATCTTGCTTTTACCTACAGCCTGGTGAAGAATAATCTCTTTGGTAATGAAACAGCCTTCTGCATTTCAGACCAGCTTTTCTACATGGTCATCTTCCCAAGTAGCTGGCAAAATCCTCAAGATCTAAGCTGCACAAATATGGCCTATAATGGCACAACCACAAGCCATCGCCTCACAGTGACAGAGGGCTCTTCATTAAAGAGCCCTCTGTCAAAGGCGCTTCCCCCAGCCTCTGGCTGAAATTCAGACCTTTGCTGTGGCTACATCACTAGTTATTTAAAGAAGCTATGCATTATTAACTCCTTTCTCAGTGTTTTCTTGCTGTCTCCAAACTTTACTTCAGGTGTCATCTCCCCTGAAGGGAATGATCTGAGCACAAGTATGTTGTAATTAGGAATGATACCACACTACCTCTAAGTTGACTTACAGGGGACTAGAAACAAACTAGTATTAAGTCCAGGCTGTAACAACTGGAAACTGTCCTTAAAGCACTCTCCCTCTATCTGCTCTAATCTGCAAAAATGAAAATTTGAATGGGAAAGTCAGAAGGAAAGAGAATGAGAAGAACACAAATTAATTGGTTGTTTCAAAAAACAGGTCTCAGTGAGTGCTAGTATCCAAGGCAATCCTCTGTAAAGGCTGTTAACTTTGTCCACGTTACAAGTGCTTCTCAAGGGTGAAAGAAAGAGCAGTGGACCCATCACCCTACTTTAAAGTAGGGAGTATGAGGCAAAAGCAGTTAGTTTCTACTGACTTACATACCTGGTCCTTTCACTTCAGTGCAGATCTTTACATTTGGTTTGCCACTCTGGGGATCTTGCCCTTCACTGTAACCCTCACCAAAAAAAGTAATTGTAAAAGAGGTTCCATCCATCTGTAGTAGACAAGACAAGTGTGGTCACGAAAAGAGTAACTCACTCCCAGCAAACAAGTAGAAAATAGAAGGATCTATTACACCAAATTCTATGAACCATGTAGACATGAGAGCAGTTATTTTGAGACATTGCTTAAAAGGCATAATGTCAGCTATGTTTTTAATCACTTCCACTGTGTTGGAACTGTTACTGTTCTAAAGTCCATTTATTCTCTCAGTGCTTTCAGTCCTCTGTTTTTGCTGCTCGCTCAGTCTCCCTCTGTCATCATCATTGACAGACTGGGTGCTGTAAGCCATGCATGTAAATCATCATAGAATGGTTTGGGTTGGAAGGGAGCTCAGCCAGTTCCAACCCTCCTGCCATGGGCAGGGCCACCCTCCACTAGAGCAGGTTGCTCAAAGCCCCATCCAACCTGGCCTTGAACACTGCCAGGGAGGGAGCACTCACAACTCCTCTGGGCAACCTGAGCCAGTGTCTCACCCCTCACAGTAAAGAATTTCTTCCTAATATCTAAACCTATGCATCACATAAATACATCAGACCCATCCTAATCCGAGTTCTACGTACTTTGATGTTTAGTAACAGAAGATGCATTTAAATAGTCAAAGCTATCTGAACAGATATTGTGTGAATACACACAGTGTATATTCAGACATTATTTCTATGCAGTTGACTCTAAATTACTATTTCATCATTACTATGACACATATATTCAATAACTGTGATGGGAAACAGCCAGTTACCTGTTTCTGGGTTGGTCCTTTCTTTGTGAAGTGTCCAGCAGAGAAAAATTCTGGGTACTGCATAATAAGGCAGGGGAGAAAAACAAAACAAAAAGATGACCAACAGTAAACTAGATAGAAAAGTAAGTCTCCAAACATTTTAATTTTGTGTTTTGAACACTTACTTTTGTCAGAAGTTTTCTTCCAAAACTAAACTTCACAAGAAGAAGAAATAAAATGCCAGCAAACATCAGCTTCATAACAGAACCAAGACCACCTATGCTCACATAAGCACCATACTGCACCTGAGGCAGAAACATATTTTCAGAGGCAGAACTGACATTAAAATTTTTGCATCAATTCATTTGTAAAAATGAATCTACCCTCAGTTTAGGATGCACGTGTTTGATACGACAGCTTCTTAAACATAGCCTTAAACAACTGCCTTAGTACCAAACAGCTCTTCAAATAATGCTTCACTTCATAATGCGTTATGAGAACTGAATATAACTACAGAATGGTGAGGAAATGAGCACAGTAAACAAGAGTGGAAAACTCCTAAAAAAAGCTGTGTTTTGGTATCTGATTTAAAGCTTCTTCTCCAAGATCTTTGTGCTTTAGCTTAAGAGAAACTGAGGCCTTGCCTTACTTTTCAAATCTGAAATAACAGTAGCAAGCCTTTCTCATTTGTGCTTTCCATGTGTATTTTTAGAACGCTATTTCACCTTCATCTCTTAGCTGATGGCTGTGATTCTGCACAGCTGTTATACAGATTGTTGGTGGCGTTTTCCCCTCATGAAACCATGAGGAAAAAAAAAAAACTTAGCATCTTTTCCACCACCACTTCATACTGCCTTTACTCTCCAGATACAAATGAGCAGCCTATAAATTCTTTATCAGAATGTTCACTACACTAGACTGACCTAACTACAGCTACACTTTAGAACATCCCAAGTTGGAAGGGACCCCCATACAGATCATCGAGTCCAACTCCCTGCTCCTTGCAGGACTACCCATAACTAAACCATATGACTAAAAGCATTGTCCAGAGATGCTCCTTGAACCCTGAAGGGCTTGGTGCTGTGACCACGTCCCTGGGGAACCTGTTCCAGTGACAGACCACCTTTCACAGAACAGCCTTCTCTATTGTCCAACCTAAACTTTTCCTGACATACTGCAATAAAAGAGGAGGCTGTGAATACAATCAACATGTTTATTGTTTCACCCTTTCAGAAGCTTTACTGATACAACAAAGAAAAAGCCGCTCTGCAAGAAGATAATTTAATGCATTTATCATTCCTGAAAATCAGGAAGCCTAACTTTCAAATATTTCTGTGACTTAGGGCTCCTATTCCCTACAGATACATACCTAGAAATCAGACAGCTCAAGAACTCTAAAAGATAATCTTGTAACTATTATGCTAGCAGCAATAAGCAAGCTCATCAGGCAGAGGATCAAGTAGTATCAAATAGGCCAGTGCGCCCAGAAGAACCCAGACCACATCAAGTCAAGCAGCTTCCAAAGGTGGTAAAGAGAACAAGCCTCCTTCTTCACAGAAGCAAAAGCACATTCCGATTCATTACTGTTTACCTAAATACAGCAGCCCTACTATGCAGATCTGCACTACTACTACTAACTGAACAGTTATTACATAAAGGAAATTAATTGAAAACAGTAATAAAGACAGTATATTAATAACAGCAACTTACAGGTGTTTCCTGCAACTCTGTGTGCAAATAACGCTGAGACCGTTTCACAACAGAAGCATCAGATCCCATGAACGGAATGGAGTACTCTTTGAATTCCTGACTGTAGAACACAAGCCCTCTGTAAAAGGACAAAAAAACAACAACAACAAACCCAAACAAAACAAGGTCAGAAAAAATGTTCAAATATTCACACAAACTGAAGAAACTTATCAATGGAACAGCCCTACCAATACTGGCCTTTCTCAAGCATTTTTATGACATTGTCTCTTTTCACCAAAAGCAAACCATCTGTGACTCAAGATGCCATGCACTACAGCAAGGAAGAATCTGATAACCAAAATAATATTCTCCTCACATTTCTTTCTTCCATTTTATTGATCACTTCTGAAGTTCGAAACTGTACCACCCCACTAAAAGCCCCTTAGAACAATTTAACTTTGAGACCCAGTAAATGCTGGGTCGTGTTCTGTTTTCAGTATATACAAGCAAATCCGTAAAACTGAACTTCAATTCTACAAGACAAGCATCTCTGTTCCTAGTATACTGAAGTCCTAAATGCATCTTTTTAGTATTTAATAGTATTCAAAATCTATACAACAAATACTGGAACTGTTATAAGATAGTGTGTTTCCCATCTCAGACTTATACCTCCTTTTAAGCTTTGCACCAACTACTGGAACAGGGGCATATCCTATCTTTTTTCGAAGCTTCTTCAGGTTGTCTTGATCCGCAAGACCATAAACAGCTGACTTCCAGGTCCCATCATGTACACAAGTTCCCTAGTGATATACCACGAAACAGTAATTAACTCCATATCTAAAGGTTTCATGTATTACTTTAATAATGACCTTAGAATTATTACATGTTCTTAGTTATTACATATGTGTGTTATGATTACATGCACTGAACTACTGAAATGTCATAGGTTGGCCTTGGCTGGGCACCATGTGGCCACCAAGACTCCTCCTCTGCTGGACAGGGAGGGGAGCAAATAAGATGGGGAAAAAAAACAACAACAAAACCCCTAAACAACCAACTCCTGGGTCAGCTTGTGGGAGGAATGTTGGACAGACAGCCTTGATGCTGTGCCAGCACTGCTCAGCACTTGCTGAAACACTGGTGTCTTACCAACTCCTTTCTAGCTACCAATACAAAGCACAGCACTATGAGGGCTACTATGAGGAAAATTAACTCCAGCTCAGCCAGACCCACTACAATCTCCACATCTTACTCCATATGATTTGTGTCATCCTTAGGTCCCACATAATTGAATACATGTTTGTACACATACACACATGTATCTTCTAACCATCCTACTACGTTTAATTCTCTCATTACTGAAATCCCTCCTCACCAACACTTACAACTTACGCTACATACTTAAGCCATCTTTATGCCAAAGATATTCTCATTAACAACTATTTCCTGTCCTTTAAAAGATAGGTATTATTCTCCCATTCCATGGGCTACTTTTACTCCAGGTGTTTGCAAGAACAAGCGATGACTTGGCCCCATCTCTCAAGATTAATGATCAGGACAGGAGAAGCGGTATGTTTGACTGCTGGGCACCAATCCAGCCCAGTTTGGGCCATCCTTGCATTGTTTTAATAATGCTCTTAGAATTATTACATATATTAGAAATTATTATGATTATTATGTACAATACATGTATTATGATTACAAGAAGTATACTGAAATAACCTCTCCAGACAGACAGACAAACACACACTAGAATTACTGGCAACACACCATGTATCCGTTATAGTTGACTTATATATGAATCCTCACCAGATCTCCACCAAAACTATTTCTTGAAACAGCTTAATGCAACAGACTTCTGGCCTTTGTTGTAAGGATGTCTGCCTAACTAACCTTACAAAAGGGTGTTTGCTTGGGATGCTTTTATTAGCTCCTAAAAAATAAAGCTCTTGGACTCATCATCAAGGAAATACCAGCTTGGCCCTTGGTCTGAATTAATGTAATAAGTTATTCTGATGGGCTGTGGGAATATTAATACCTCTGATTTTCCAAGAAGGTATAAATCAACTAACCTCTGGCCCAGATTTCACCTTCAGGAAACTTTCGACAGCAGTTAAGGTACCTTTCGGGGAAGAGAAAACATTACCTGGCATATACAATTACTAGTTCACAAAGCCACAGTATACACTCTGGTAACCTCAAATAGCAGACCACTGACATTATCAGTTGAAAAGGCAGAGTCACGTCTTTGTTTCAAATTAAACTAAGGTTAAGTTCCACAGCTATTTCAGTTAGCAAGTATCAAATTTCTTATGTGAAGTACTTCAGTAGAGGTCACCAATGCTAGCTTTACTCATTACCTTTTTCATGTCTTATTGACTTAATGACATAATGTAAACAATCAATAAAAAAAGGAAAACAATATTAAGAGCCATATTTAGCTTTCCTCCAAGTTTCAAAATAAAGGACGATGGAGGTTATGAAGACCAGGATGGAGTTAATTTGTGGTAGACTTTAAGGGCAAACACCCCACACCCCAACCCCCTGAACCCACAAAGCACCAACCACAAGCTTACAAACCCACAGAGAACCCTGAACTCACAAGATATCCTAAACCATGCAATATTATCTTGTGTTTCACAAAGAATGCTTAGTTGTGATGAACAGCAAAATAAAACAGTTCCTCAAAATTCTGATTTGTTTTGCTTTGCACAGTTCCTTCCCAGTTTACAAAACTGTACTTGTATGAGCAAATTTCAATATAGCAAGCAACTGGACAGACAGGGGACAATACCATAAAGTCAAACCAGGAAGACATAAGAGACGTCTTTATTCAAAAAAAGTATCAGACATCGAATTATAACCCCATGTAAAAACAAATGCTCATTTCCAGGCCTCTCCTCTCCCTCCAATCACATCCAGATTGAGTTTTCTTAAACTGAAAGCAGACGATACACTTCAATGCAAAGCAAACCCACTTAACAGCACTTAATTGCCCATAAAAGCAAAACATTTGGATACTCACTGGCCTTTTCAATTGAAAGTCAGATGCGATGAACAAAACATCCTCATTTGAGATTAGGATCAAATGCAAATCTGATCCCGATTTATGCATCCAGGATCCTAATTTGATCCAGAATTCACGCAAATATCTCACATCTTTTCTCAAAAGTATTTATGCTCTTTTGGTTACAGTCTACCTGTTCCTAAAGTAAAAAGTATCGTATGGCACTGTCCACCTACACTCATACACCAGCTTCTCAGTGCTTGTGGTAGAAAAACAAAACTTAGGAAACCCAATTACCCACCAATCTGCAAACCCTTTCCCACTGCCTCTTCCCTACAAAGATTCTCACTGTACAAGAGGCAGTGTGTTGAGGCTTGCCAAGGGACAACCACACTCTGGCTCAACAGCCCACTGGTGACAGCTGCAGGTTCTGTTGTCTTTGTAAGCAATGTTTCCTTGAATCCCTCTTCTACCTAACAACCAATGTTCTTCAATCTAATAGGAATTATGATTTACTTTAAAATTTCTACCTACGAGATCTGGTTGAAACTGATCAGCTGCTAAAGGCAGGCAAAAGGAGAGACTGAAAAACTTCCCATGTAAGTAATACTGCTTTAGGAAACCAAATGAAAACATAATCTGCATTTCTTTTTCAGCATAAAGTCACACTTAAAAATCACCTTTCAACTTGTCTCTGGTGTACAGCACTCCCATATCAGCTGGTATAGAGTCAAAGCCACAACTTCCAATGACATATACTCCCTTTTCCGCAGCTTTTTCATTGTATTTCAGGTACATGCCTTCCAGAAACTAAAACACAGAACAAATACTTTAAGCAGAACTGTCTATTTGGACATACCCAATATTAGCCACCCATGCTTTACTGTGTCATATCATAGCACCCTACATACTTCAACCCACTTACATCTGAGACAGACAAAGAAATGTGACCTGCACAAATTCCCTACATAGGATCAAACTGAGCTTTGAGTCAGAACTCAAAAATTAAGGATTTCTGGGAAGAATCTTAGAGGCTCTCACCTAACAGCTAACACACTGTACTTTAAAATAATTAACACACCTTAAAATTGTAGATCACGAAGAAGAATTTGCCTTCCTGGTCATAAACATTAACAGGAACGTGAAACATACTAAATAAACACACTGCCATAAGGTAACATTTTTCTACTGTCACGTACCTGTGGCTCTCCACTGATGTCAATGTGGCTTGCACCATTTTCAACACAAGCTTCTATCACAGGCTCCCCAAAGAATCTATACTATAGAAGAAAAGAACACCACACATAACGGAAGCTCCACAGCACAACTCTCCCAACATGCTCTATCTTACACATGTACGTACACCAAAACCTCGCCACGCCAACCTGCTACACTGCCGCCTGCCCCGAGGAGCCCAGCCGCAAGCAGCAGAGAGGCAGCCCCGGGCTCTGTCAGCGGCCGCGGGAGTAGCGCCCGCATCGCCGCACTCACCGGGCCCACGCAGTTGAGCACCAGCCGGGTCTGCCTCGCCATGGCGGCCAGAGAGGCCGCGTCGTCCACATCGCACAGCAGCACGCCGACCTCCGGCCCCACCGCCGCCTTCCCTGCGCACCGGAGATCGCCGTCACCGACACGTCCCGCCGCTCCCCGGCAGCATCTCTTCCTACCCCGAGACAAACCACCGACCCGCCTCCCCACCACCAAGGGGCTTGCCCCGGCTCTCCCCGCGGCCCTTCCCCAAACCCGCTCGAGGGCGGCTCCTAACGGACAGAACCCCGACACCGGGACCGCGCTGGCCCCTCCGGCCCCGGACGACGGCGCTGCGCCACACGACCCATGGCCCGTACCCAGCTTCTCGGCCGCCCGCTCTAGCACTGCCTGCAGCTTCTGCCGGCTCCGCCCGGCCACGGCCCAGCGCAGGGCGCCCCGCAGTTCCCCGCTGGCGGCCGCCCGCGCCACCTCCTCCACCACGAACTGGCCGGTGAATCCCGAGGCACCGAACACCACCAGCTCGTAAGGCCGCTCGGGCGCCCCAGCGCCACCGCTACCGTCCGCCATGGGTAAAGACACTGCCGCACTGCCGGGCGCCGCCAGGAAGCTCCGGTACCAAGCGGCCCGGCCCGGCCCCGCCCCGCCCTGGGCGGCCGTTACGGCTGTTGCAGCGACTGAGGGGTGGTGCTGTCGTGCCTCGCTCCGCACCCAGCGCAGACCCTCAGCTCCTGGCGCGGACCCGCGGTGACGGCTCTGTGCCCCTGCCTTGGGGCAAGTAACCCTTGGTCTCGTTCCAGCAGCTGAGAGAGAGGGAGGGAGAGGTGTTATCTCCGGGCATGTTTGACACACACCGTGAACAAATAAAAACATACCGAGAAACTGCCGGGGGGTCATGGAGCCAGGGGGTTTAAGCAGCGACGGTTGGAGAGAGACGCCATTGTGTCCGGTCCCACATTCTGCTGAGCACGGCCCATTGCCGAGTTATTGCCTTAAGCGTTTCAGCACAGGTGATACAAGATTAATAGGGTACCGCCAGTAACCCAGAGAGATAATTGTAATCACTTAGAAGCCAAATGAAATGCTCTTGTTTGCCTCACAACTACAGCAGATGTGTATGTCGGGCTCAACAGGGACGGAGAACAAATGCAAAATCTGCAGTTGCTGTTGTGGTGGGGAGAGGCCGTGGCCCTGCAGAGCCGTGCTGGTACGGAGCATCTGTGGCTGCACCGCGCGGTGAAGCACGGTTATAATTTCTGTGCTTTTCAAGGCCAGGCTGCTCACCTGGATTCCAGAGGCTCGCAGCAAGTCGTGTGGGAGCCAGCCTCCTGCATCCCTTTCTCCCAGGCAGTTTCTGCCTTATTTTAACCATTCCAAAGAGACGCCTGTCTAATCTCTAGTGACTGATGCTTTCAGACTGTTCCCAGGCAATCTCCTGCACAGTGTTTTGCATATGGCTGAATACAAGAAACTAGATCTATACATCCTGTAGTTTTGCCCACATGCCATTCTGTTTCTAGAGGACATTAGTAAAAGATTTAATCCCTGAAGAGTGTATAAAAAGATGCTGCAAAGCTGGAAACTTCCATGCATCTCTTCAATCATCCTTAGTTTTTAAATCAGTAACTCTTTTGAGCTTTCCTCACAGGCTATTTCACACATACGTTTTTCCTGTTCTTTTCAGCTGTTTTACATTTGTACTGAAGATTAATGTCCTTTCTGAACACACTCTAAACATCTTGTCTCCGAGGCAACAAGAGATCCTCACCTCTAAAAGCATCAGCATCAACTCCTTAAGTACTGCTGATGCAGCTGTTTGTAGACCTACTCGATCAGCTGTGCCAGTGAAACAACAGAGCCTAACAAAGAGCAAAGCGTGGGGGAGGGAAGGACAAAGATGGCTGTTGTAGGTTTTTTTAATCCAGATCATTTTGTTGATCTGATTTGCAGAGAGAACCTGCAAAACCAGTTTCTTGTGTTTGAGGTCCCTGAACATCTCATTAGTCAAGCTTGTCTCTTACTGTCTTCCTCAGATAATTTCCAGCTGTTTCCAAAGTAAAGGCTGTTTTCTCCGAGGCCACAGTCTTTGGTGTTCCACTCTCCTTTCTCCTTTGAAAAAGCTTTGGAAAAAACAATTCACAACTATAATCAATAGATATTTACCTTCCCCCCCCCCCCCCCCCACAGTTTGAAGTTAATAAAAATTGTTTTTTCTTCAGACTTTTCATTAACATTTAAAATTGTTCAGTGACATGAGGCTGTAAGGAGCCTTCCAATTGCAGAGGGATTCTGACATAGCTCACAGGGCTGCCTAATTTCTTTATCCCTTTGCTCCAGAAGCTTGCTTCTCTTGCCTTTTCTCCCTCTTCCATATTAATCCCTTGTCCCTCTCAAAATACAAGGCAGTTTAGATATGACTCTGACTCAACTATTTGTAAAAAACCAGGACTGCACAATCTTTCTTGGGCCATACGTGTTTGATAAGAGCTGCATCGTTGTGTTAGTCAGTGGCTTGGCAAGCACAAGCTTGCATGCAGTGCTGAGTAACCTGCCTCCTCAGTGACTGAAATTTTACACCAAAATGGTCAGACTTACCCTGCTTATCAATCCACAACTCTCAATATTCCATCGACTTGTACAATGTCAGCTGCATTTCTTTAAAACACACCTGTTGGAGCAAGATAATTCATGTAAATTGCAGCTTACACAGGCAAGAAATCAGGCTTTCAGAGCTGCAGAAGGACACCTGAAAACCAACTAGGGGGGCATCAAAACAGGAGGCCTACATAAAACATCATTATGGTAGCTCCAACTCTTTTTCTCGAGAGAGACCTGTGGTTGGCAACTGGGAGAGTTCTGTTTGCAGTCATCTCCAGTTTCACGCCAGCTCACTAGTAAGAAAAGAACAAAAATCAGTCTCTAAACCAGATTACATTCCTGCCCTTGAAACTAACAAGTTGATGGGTAGGTTTCAGAGTGGCAGACATCAAGGCAATGATTTTAAATGGAGAGCTAACAGCAGTCTTGACTAAAGGCAAAGGTTAACCTGTCTCCCTAGTTAGTGCCCTCAGTGCAGGATTACAAAAATTATTCTGTGGGAAAGGAGTAGGACGATTTACAGTTTTCCTTTGTCCAATAGGAAGCCAAGAAATGTCAGATCTGCTGCCAAGTGCAGTTCCACAAAGGAGGTTCTCACCTCAATCGGTTTTAGAAGCTCACAAAAAAGATACTGCTGTTTCTTTTAAAATCTTGTGTTCCAGATTTGAAGGTGCTTATTTTTTCACATGTGTATCAGCATGCAAAGCCTCCTTTAGCCAGACTGCCTCAGTCTAAAGCTCCTTGCCAGTTTCTGTGGGACAGAGAAGTACAGAAGCGCGTATGCACACAGCAGGCGTATCTTTTCAAAGTCATCCAATAAAAAGGGGCACGCCTCCCTGTGCTAGTTTCTCCTGTTCTGCTTGGAGCCTCTGGCAGGATCTGAGGAATCTATGTAAACATGTGTAAGAGCACTTGTATGTCCCTTCCTTTCATGCAGTGGGCATCCTGATTAAATCCTTCCTGTCAATATTACAGATTTCTTGGACACCAGTCTTTGTGGTAAAGTTTTTTGTACTCATTTATAATTTTAGGGTGCTTTTTATTAGGAGTGGAAACGAAGATGTTGTTCCATGACCGCTTTTTAATTAAAATAATAATAAGGTAGCAGAAAGAGTGCAATATGATGTCAATTGCATAATGATGTATGAAGGCAGCTTTTTTCAACACAGCATGGTAATTGCCTTGAACCCCAAAGGATGAAATAAGATCAATGGCTTGCATCATTTCAAAAGTTACAACAGAACACATGAAAAATAGAGCATAAGAGTAGGTAGAGAACCTGGGAAACAAGGTTGATTAACAATGCATGGATAATTCACTGCAGGGTATGAAGAATTATGTGGGTGAGTATATAAGTGATTTAAAAAGAAAAGGCATCTGTGTACCTGTTACAGTGACTCAGTACTGTAAGACTGTGAGAACAAATATTTCTGGAACAAAGTCTACAGTTCTTAGTGTCGTGGTGTATCTTATGTTGAATTTATGCAGAATATTACTTTATAATCAAGAGGCAATTGGCTTTAAAAAGCTGCTCAATACATAACTTTAGAATTTGTAATAAAACTATTTAGACTGGGATAAAAAAAAAGAGGCTCTTGAAATTAAAAACTGCAGAGAATCCAACAAAGTTGCTTCTTTTCTCCAGACTAAACAGCCTCAGTTGCCTCAGCTGCTCCTCATAAGACTTGTGCTCTAGGCCCCTCACCAGCTTTTGTCTCCCTTTGGACCTGCTCCAGCGCCTCAATGTCTCTGTTGTAGTGGGGGCCCGGAATTGAACACAGGATTCGAGGTGTGGCCTCACCAGTGCCCAGTACAGGGGGATGATCACTGCACTGGCCCTGCTGGCCACACTGTTTCTAATGCAGGCCAGGATGCCATTGCCCTGCTTGCCTGCCTGGGCACATGCTGGCTCATGTTCAGCTGTCAGTCAGCACCCCCAGGTCCTTTTCCTCCAGGCAGCTTTCCAGTCACTCTTCCCCAAGCCTGTAGGATTGCATGGGGTTGTGGCCCAAATGCAGGACCATTTTAATATATATGTATACGTACACACATGTAATATGTATATTGTATACGTATGTATATATATTCAACCAAATGTACATTCAGCCAAATAAAATAATAAAGGAACAAGGTTCTTTTTACCTAGTTTGCTTATTTCTAACTTGGGAGAATACAAAACAGCAGATGGCAGATCCCGCTCTTCTGTTTTTTAATAAGTTGCATGCACATTCCCATTCATGCACAAATCTAAACAAGCTCTGAAAAGAAGAAATAAAGGCACTGTTGACCCATAGAAGGACAGCAGAAGTCAAAGCTTTTGACTGCCACTGGAGTCCAGGCTTCTCATTCAATATTAACTGCAGCCATGACTTCTCACACTGAACTTGAAACACTTAGAGGTATGAAGAGGCTGATAAATGTACAGATTTTTCAGTAGATGGACACAGAGCAAGAAAGCGTAGGGGAAGAGCACCTTTTTCTGATGACACTAAATAATTAGTAATGTTGCAGTAGAATGCTGTATAACAAAAGTGGCTGCACAGTAAATTAAGACATAAAGAGTTACATGCCAGAGTGCTCTTGCTGGGTACTGCAGGGTTCTGCCCTACCTCACAGTTTAGTAGTCATTTTGATGACAACAGTTAAAGATTTGAAACTTTCTCCCATAGTTGCAGAGAAATGATTTAATGGCAGCTAAAAAACTAAAAGTGAAAGGATTTAGAAAACACACACTAATCTCTACTGGAGATGTTAAAACCTGGAATACAGCTACCTAAAAGAAATGGGGATATATGTTTTGTCAGTGTACGGCAAATGGGAGGTATTTGCAATGTGGAAGCATCAGATTGCATGGAAGGAAATAAAAATCTGTCTCCATTTTAAAGTCTTACCTAAAGCATTGCATTCCATTTCAACCACTTCACTACTGTGGGCCCCTGCTACAAGGAATAGATTGACGAATTGCAGACAATTCCAAGAAAATTTTCCAGGAAATAATGAATCATCCAGGAGTACGAATGGAGACACTTTAGGGGGCAAATCCAAAGTTCAAGGTATGTATTCACTACAGAGGCACAATAGTGCTTTGCAAATATCTGAAGGTGGAGGGTGAAGGACTTGGAATAAAAAAGAGGTGTACACCTAAGCAGACGTGGCTGAGAGAGTGACCAGCAGAGCCCATGCCTCGCAGCAAGGGAGATGTCAGTAAGAGAATGAGACCAATGATTCAGTGAGTGCCAATGGACAGGACATCTGAAACAAAGCACCAGGCTGTTACCTGTGAGGAAGCTATGCAATGCCACAAGCGTAAGTGGATGGCTAGGTGGGTCATCTGTTCTTTACTGGCTGCAGTCATCAGTATTAGACTGAACTGTAAAATTCTCTAGCTATCTTTCCTTTAATTGCATTGTGAGTATAATAACAGAGCCTGATAGTTCTTAAAATATTCCTTTGTATCTTATTTAAGCAAGGTCATTAGAGGGGGAAAAAAGGGGGAAAACATCTGTATGCTCTAATTAGCTAAAAGTGCTTGCAGGCAAAAACATACAGTTCCTCAATGTTACTCTCTACCAGCTTCAGTTGCCAGCAGAACTTCTTGGGGGCCAGTTGAGGCCAGGTGCCTGTGTTCAGTGCACTTGAATGCTCTGTCAGTGTTCATGCAGAATACCCACAAGAACTTTTCTTCTTTCAGGTTGTATACTGCCTGTTCGCATGCAGAGAAACTTAGATTGTCCAGTTTTACACACTGGCAAAACCACAACCACTCATTTTTATCACATTTATAAATCACAGCTAACCTACACAGGTATTACTGTCCTCAAAAGCCTTGTAGCTGTCTTCAAATTGGCAACATATTTCATCTTTTGACCTCCAAAGACTTCTTTTTCCCAGTACTATCTTGTATAACTCCTGTGTGAGGCCGTCTCTGTGCTCCACCTGTTTTCTTTACATAAGGAGTTAGGAAGGATGGTTGTCATCGGAAGAAAGCTAACTCTATCCCAGACAAAACCAGGGCAATGGTTCCTTCACAAAACTCAAGATTTTCATCCCAGAATCCATAGCAGCTCAGTGCAAATCTGTGTGTGTGTGTACAAGCAGAGCACATTGCTACACATTGCTATTCCTGCTAACCCCATATCATTTTTAACACATTTGCACCATCAAACTTCCCTTGAAGCTAGCCTTTCTCACTAATGCGACATCCTCATAAACTGTCAGAGACTGAAGGGAAGAGAATTCCTGATAAGGGGAGAAGAAATGGTGCAGTGGTAAAGCTTTCCCTCTCTTGTTCCTGTGAAAGAAAGTGGGAGAAGAGAGCATACCATTTAGTTTTGTGCAGCTGCTTTTGCTCTGTGTGGATGTTTTGTGCCAGAGAATTGCTGCAGAGCTTTGGGAGTGAGAGCAGAATGCCAAATATCCTGTGCTCTCAGCCACCATATCCTGCAGAGGTATTTCTGTGCTGAAATATGGGCGACAAGCAACACTTGAAAGCTGCTTCTTCTGTGTCTCCCATGTAGCTATGTGCTGGTTTTGGCTGGGATAGAGTTAATTTTCTTCATAGTAGATAGTATGAGTAGATGTTTTGTTACAACGCTGAAAGCAGTGTTGATAATAAAACAATGTTTTAGTTATTGCTGAGCAGTGTTCGCATAGAGTCAAGGCCTTTTCTGCTCCTCTCACCACCCCACCAGTGAGTAGGCTGGGGGTGTAAAAGGAATTGGGAGGGGAAACAGCTGGCACGGATGACCCCAACTGACTAAAGGGATAATTCCATGCCATATGATGTCATGTTCAGCAATAAAAGCTGGACAAAAGAAGAAGGGAGGGATGTTCAAGGTTATGTTTTGTCTTCCCCAGTACCCATTATGTGTGATGGAGCCCTTCTTTCCTGGAGATGGCCCAACACTTGCCTGCTGATGAGAAGTAATGAATGAATTCCTTGGTTTGCTTTGCCTGTGTGCAAGGCTTCTGCTTTAACTGCACACTGTGTTAACCAAAAAAAACCCACCAAAAGATAAAACTGAAAAACCCCAAACACAAGTGATACACAGTACAGTTGCTCACCACTTGCTGACTGATACCCAGACCCACCCCAGCAGTCATCAGCCCCTCGCGCCCAACTCCCCCTTATATATAATGAGCATGACGTTCTATGTTATGGAATATCCCTTTGGCTAGTTTAGGTCAGGTGTCCTGTCTCTGCTTCCTCCAAGCGTCCTCTGCCTGTCCCCACTGGCAGAGCATGAGAGGCTGAACGTCCTTGAGCAGGGTAAGCGCTACTGAGCAACAACTAAAACATCGGTGTGTTTTCAGCACTGTTCCCAGACTAAAGCCAAAACACAGCTCTGCACCAGCTCCTAGAAGAAAACTGATTCTATTCCAACCCAAACCAGGACAAACTACTATTCAATAGCCCCTAACTGAACTTATCACAGTATAGTTGCATTTGAATTTAGATTTGTCTGTAACGTGGACAAGGCAAGATGTCTTCCATCTTCCTTCACAGGAAAGATCCTAGCGGATCTCTAGCTTCTGTAATGTTGAAATGGGGCACATTTTCCAAAATCTGCGGTTCATAACTACATCTCATCAAGAAGGTTTGTGGAGAATTGCCAAAAGGCTGACCAACTATATCCTTTTGTTCATTCTGTAGAAAGCAGAAGTTTAGCTTTCAAACCAGTGTCTTGTCTCAGGACTGAGTTTAGAGCTGAGCAGTTGGTACAGGTAGCACTTACTGTGAGGATGGAAAGAGCAAAACCATAGAACGTAATGCAGAGATAGCACATTCCCCTTATTTCATAGAGCTGGCTTGTTCACCAGTGTGTGGGGCTAGTAACTGAACCTTGAGAAGTACTAAAGAATCAAATGGTACTACAACGTGGGGAGTATCTGCAGTACATTTTGCCATGTTCTTGACATAACTCAAACACCCCAGGTGACTCTTTGCAGGGCCTGTGTAGAGCCCTGCATTGGTTTGTGTCGGGACAGAGCCTCACTTACCGACAATTCTCTCCCACTTTTCTGAATTTCTGGGATAGCATCAAAGTGTCCAACCTGGACTGAGAATCAGTTATTTAAGGCATTACTTTAGTAAAGCAGTCTTAGCTATCACATAACAAAGCTTAATGGATTGATACAAAATAATGAATTGACTTTATTAACCTTTTTCACTATGTCAGTAAACGTGGAGGGTGATAAGGGTAAAGGGCCTCAATCGGATCTCCTCCTCCTGTAGCAGCTTCTCTTTATCTGGGTGCCTGAGACTGTCCTAAGTGGTTTGGATGATTTTTGTAACTCATACCACTATTTTAGCATTCTCTAGCAAAAAGGCTCCAAGGTGTGGCATGCAGATTTTTTTACAAGTATTTTTTAGAGAAAAAATGAGCTTACATGGCAACAACAGCAGATTCCAAACCTGCTTTATGTCAACTCTTGTCTGAGCAACAACAAATACCTCCATGTGAGCAGTCACTGCCTCATGGCAGATAAGTACCTGACCACGAGGCAAAGGTCTTTACTCCTTAAACTCTTCCTGAACATTAGATAAACGCTTTGACAACAGTGATTACAGGCAGTCAGTAGAACCTCACTGTTGTACATAGCACATTCAGCTGGTCCTCTCAGAATGTCCTCAGCAGCAGCCCGTGTGCTGG